GCGATCGCTGTGAAGCCGCTATTACAATCTCTTATGAAGCTCAAGCTCGGCTTCAAGATCCCATCTATGGCTGCGTTTCTCATATCTTTGCTCTCCAGCAACAAGTAGTTCCTTTCAAAACCTTAATCATGATTCTTTTACAAAACATATTTAACTAATCAGTAAATATTTTGCCGGCGAATTTTTTGTAATTAGTTATTTTTGTTTGGTTATAGGTTGTGAATCTACAAGCACAACTTGAGATTCTAAAGCAACAGGCAGCACAAAGTATGATTTTTGCTGAATCACCAACATCAGAAAACCCTAATAGTTACTATGGAGACACTACAAAGACTCCTTATCATCATCAAGAACATCAAAATCTTTATCATCATCATCATCAAAATCATCATGATCCGACCCATTTGGTTTACCAAACCGGAAGTTCTGGAACGGTTCACCACGGGGATGCCGCTGAGAATAGTTACCACAATGAAACCTCCTCTGGAGTCATCGGAGAATTTTCTATGTACTCTGACTTGGAACAACGCTTGAACACTTTCAATCAAGATAATCTCAAAGAGCTTCAGTCAGAAGCTTTTGGCTACATCTCCTTCTCGTAATATGGTTTATATATGATCAAAAAATGGGTTGATTCTTATAACTATCAATATCCGATCTCTCTATATATATATATAGAATATATAGCGCTTACATATGTTTCAAGACTTTTTTGATGGGTTTAGTATCGATTGATGATGTTGCCTAGCTCGAAGAACCAGCTTTGTTGTATTCATAAATAAAAAGCACTAGATGCCCTAGAAATATATAAAGATATTGATGATATCCTCAATATCTATATATATATATATATATATGTTTCAATTTTTGCATTTTATATAAAATATATGCACAATAATCATGCTTTGCTTCTCCACTGCGTCCCAATTTTGTCACGATCTTGATATAAAACGACACGAATCCCTAGCTAGCTCGTTAAACTCTGTCTGTCCTGATTCTTTAGATTCTGCTAGTACGTAGGTAGGTACGTACAGTCTCCTGGCACACGCAATCGAGTTGTTTTTCCCTCAATATTGGAGAAAGAGGATTTTTTATCACTAATCATCTTGAAATTTCTAATTCTCTTGAAATGAAATTCTGTTTCAGTATTTATTTAAAATAATTTATTTTGTTCATTGATATATCATTTACGTAAAACGTGGCTCTAGAATTAACTAATTGAGTCCAAAATCATAAAGACGCAACTACATTTTAAGATTTTTATATACAGTAAATTTAACATAGGACTGTATATAAATCATACTTCTTAGTTTTAAAAGTAGCTCATATCTGGATATGATGGATTTAGGGTTCATCTATAATTCATTCACGGAACTCGTACATACTGTATATAATAATATATATTTTGTTATGAAAAGTTGTACTATATGACTATGAGCATACGACAATCCACTTAACAACTAGTTTGAACTACTGATAGAAAAAAATGAATTAAAAGTACAACCCCAGTTTATTATTTTGCCACGAACTTTATCTTAATGTATATCAACTTGTTTAGAATATCATTGGAAAGTGTTTTTATCGGTAGAAGATATACAATACAGGAAAAAAAAAAAAAAAAACTAAATTCATCTCATATGGTCTCAATGATTAATAATCCATAAGAATAAAAAGGTAGAAAAACATTAACCCAATTAGGCCCGTAATATATCTACAATTGGACTTTCTTCTCTAAGCCCAGTAAAATTTAGGGGTTATTTTAATTCGATTTCAGAACTTATAGTAAAACAAATGGGCTTATTTTATTTCGTGCAAATAAAGTTTTGGTTGCACGTGTGAGCTATTTTATTATTCTACGGTCAAAGTATACTAAAGTCGACCTCAGCCGTTTCGCTACTCTTTATGTGCCTTTTCTTTCTTCTTCTTTCTTTTCTTGGTCAAAACTCTTCGTTGTTCTTTTTGTTTAGTCCTTTGATTACAGAAAAATAAAGTAAGAACCGAGAAGAGGACAAGAGAGTTCGTGTTCCATTGGTGTCACTGAGCTAATCAGTTGGGAAATCTGATGAGTGATCTTGTTGGGAAATTCCAAATTGGATTAGATGAGACTAATTCCAAAATGTCCCCTAGCTACACAGATGAGTAATTTAAAGATAATTAAAGTATTTTCAAAGTGATAAAAGAACAAAGTAGTTTAGTACTTGCATCCTATTTAGGGGACATTTTGTCTAAATTATATATATTTATACCAATATCACTATGTATTTCTTAATTATCGTTAGGTAAACATGTTAAATCTTTTGATATATTCTAAGGTTGAATTGAAGTGTGGTCCTCTTATGATTCAAATTAGATATGACGAATAAAGAGATTCGTTTTATTTATTTATTTATCTGCTTCTTCGGAAGACAGAAGACACATTATATATAGGACATTTCGTGCCATCTATGTTGTTGTCATGTCTCTTAGGTAAAACATTGGTTTTATTGTTGTGTGTAAACAAAAGTTTAGAAATCTATCACTTTACAGCATATAATTCGATGTTTAAAGATTTTCCATATCATTTAAAATATCTATATTAATATAATTGTACCTGTTATAGCATTGCATCTTGATTAATTAATATTAGAAGAAGCACATGATTATATTTTTCTCTATGTCTTAATAATTACATTAGTTTCTCATCATCCTAAGAGCCAAGGCTTGAAGCTCTCCAAGATCGGTGTTACAGTAACTCACCGATCTCTTCTTGTTTGGATAACCTTCCTGGTGAAACCCAAACCGACGGCCTGTTTGAATATCTTGCACGCCGGTCGTGACTTGACTACTCGTGTGGCTGTATTCCAACGATTCAGTTGAGCTCACTGGTGACACCGGTTTATTAGGGTTTTCATGACTGTATGGCATGTACGGTATCGTGTAACCACTTGTACGTTGCCACGTCATTTCTGATCTGTTGCTTAGATCCCCGGCGACTGTAAAGATTGTCTGGTGGGCGAGGTTCGCCTTTAGTTGCATCAGTTGTGCTTGTAAGAATGCCACCTACATGTTAAACATTCCTTATGTAAAAGCATAAAGCAAAATGTCAAACAGTCTAATTAAGTCAGAAAGAAAAAGACTGGTGGATATAATCATAGAGTACCGAACGCTACAAATTTCTCTCTAGATTTTGTATCGATTTATTCATTAATTCATTTTTACCTGCTGTTGAAGGGCGAAGACATGAGAGACACAACCATAGACAGGATCATGGAGACGAGCTTCAGCTTGGTAGGCCATTGTGACGACAACCTCATGCCGGTCTTGGATGGGAACGTGGAGCAAGATCTTAGACACGTTACTTGCTCCGAACACCTTGTGAATGGCTGCAAATCTCGCCGGACTTTCTTCTGATGAGAAGTACGGTGCAAAGACGCAATCGAAGACGCATTTTCTCCTCAAAAACTTGCATGCGCCGCATGGTGAACCTGTTCCGGTACCGTTAGATGTCATTGGAACAAAAGAAAGTTTCCTTTGTGTAATACAAAAATATTATTATCTCTGTTTTGCTCTGTATATACACTCTATTACTGAATCTTTATGGACGGTATTGAAACGGTCGATTAAAGAATGGGATCGTAAGAAGTATACACGAGCAAACTAGGAAACGGTTAAAATGTAAAGATTGAGAAGTACTAGAGCAAACACCATACGATGGTGGCAGTTGTTTGGTTTGATTTCCTAATAAATGTTACTTACATATATATATATATATATATATATATATGTGTAGAATTGCACTGTATTCATATGATAGTGTTATCAACTAGTTTGTCTACCATTTGCGTTACCTTTACCCCAAATAAATTATAATAGTTTTAAATGAGTATCATCACTAGAACTTGAATCCTATTTTGTCTTTTAGTCCATAAATAGTATATGATGAAGCAATAATCGTGATTCGAATAAGTTTAGTCTTCTTATAAGCTATATGACGTAAATGGAGTATACTATGTATCTCATTGCCGTGTTCATTGAATCAGGTCTTCGGGTTCATAAAACAAAATTAAGTGATCGACCGACCTGTTGAGATTCTTTGGTAGGCTATATACGAAAATGAACGATTTGTTTGATTAGTGTGTTTTTCTCTTACGTTAGATTTGATTTTCTTAGACATGAAGAAAAATGTGCATTTATTGTCAAAAACTTTTGATTGAAGCAAAAGGGTGCATGCGAATGGGTTGACAATGCAATGTCATTGTGCAGGCTTCTACGGAGACAAATCCATAGTGGGCAAATTCATTTTTATTTGTTCTCTTCTAATTCTATAATTCTTTCTACATAGATGATGTCAAAACGTATGTCGTCGTCGTCAGATTTGTTGTCTCCGTTGAAAGAAAACACATCACGTCTATTATCATTTATCAGTATGCTCTTAACTAAAACTCAAATCGTATTATATATTTTTGATTTTGATAAAACTTGATTTTGTTAAAGGGTTTTGAATGATTAGTCGACTGAACTCGAGTCAAACTGTTAAGACAACTAGCAGTTAATAATAACGTAGACGGCCGATTGATAAAGCTCCAAAACAGAAGTTAGTGTTCTTTTCTTTTTATATAATCTTTGATTTTGACTTATCCCGCCGAACGCCGGACATTAGAAGATGTTGCCGTTTGTCGTGTTCTGGAGGGCCGGGTAAACCGGAAAGTGATCGTTAAAGGTTTACCGACATACGCTGATGCCATGTAGTAATTTCGAATGTGATCAACTCAGTTGAGTACAGTATACTTTTTCATCAAATTGCTTACTAATTATTAGAGTTTACAAAAAACACTTTTTAACTCAATATTAATATTAATGATCGTGCTTTGGTTTTCGTGCTAGAGCTTTGACCGATGTTGCTAAACAACTCTTTTTCTAACACGCATCTTTTCAGTTCCGTAACTACAAGTTTCTTAAAACAATTCAGTCATACGTCTGTATCTATCTATAATCATAGAGAACCAAAATATAGCTCAAAATTTGACCAATGTTGCTAAACAAAACTTTATTTGGATTTGGTTTACAAATATCGGGTTAAGCAATGGAAAGCTTTAATACCCACAGACAATGTATATTAAGTTTTTAACCTTAAACACACAATGACGACAATTATAACAAGTTAATAATAATCGTACATAATGAGTTGTTAAAGTAGCATTTTCGTCTCTCTCTCTCTCTCTAGAAAATGTTTGCTTCCTGCTATAGTTTGTGTTCCTTTTGTTTGTTGGTAAATGGTTGAAGAAGAATGGTTAAGATCATTGAGCATTCTTAGTGAACAAGGGGGTCTTGCGTGAAAAAGAACTGCAAAAAAAGTTAAAATATGGGTCGTTACAGATTCACCGTCCTAAAGTATTCACCAGATATGTGGGCAAGAGTCTGAGATCATAGTGTTTACCTCAAACGATTTTCCCGAATTTTCAAATTCCAACATGCTTAATGCAACTTCACAACTTTGTGCAACAATAGGCTCAGGGTCCCTTGAGAATTCTTGTAGCAATGCAATGCTCTGCTCATCTGAATAGAGCCGAGTATTGTGAAGTAGTTAAGTATAGACAGTCGAATTAAATTGTAGTCATTCAAGCAATGAAGCATATTTTTAGGAAAGATACCTGCAATAGAGCCAAGCGCTTCTGCAGCCTCGTGTCTAACCATTGGGTGCTCGCTCACATCTTTAAGTACTTTGCTCAGAGTGGCTAAAGCAGTTTTATTTTGCAATTGGCCCAAGACATACGCAACCTATGGAAAAATTGCATCAACAAAGCAGCACTTATACGATTTAAGGTTTGAGACCAATAAGGCAGAGATTCAAGGTTAAACATCTTAACAAAACAACTCATTCAAGTTCATGAACATCTTCAACGAGTAAAGTCTCACTAGGAAACAATGATCAAACTGAAAATATGTAATGAAGGAAACTTGACAAACCTCGTGACGAAGAAGAGCACTGTTAGCACCCAAAGAATCAACTATGGCAGAAACCGCTTCCTCCCCACCATGATTCCGTAAGGCAAAAAGTGCAGCATATCTCTCATACATACATTTTGTCTCATCCAAAAGAATTTGCCTATAGTTCAATGATATAAATCAGTAAACTGTGACAAACTGGAAAATAAACTAAAGGATTTTGAATTGGTCAATAGTAGAAGAACCTGAGTTGTTGGACAGAAGAGAAAGAAGCAGCTGGGCCTGCTGGGTCAACAGACATGAAAGGTGATTTATCTGTAGTGGTTGACTGGTTCTCGGCATCAACATTGCCCAACTCTTCAATCCTTTTGAGAGCTAATTCACATGTTTCCCGAACCTCCTGAGCTGGATCCGAACTCAAGCTTTTCTTTAAGATGTCAACATTACCTGCTAAACCAATGGCTCCAAGAGCTTCTGCTGCCTGTTATATAAACAGCGAATCAGAGATTTGAAAGGATAAACAAGCTTATACTAATACAGAGGAAATACAGATGATCTGAGATTAACTCCACCACAAAGATCAAATTGTACTCAACTCATGTCGTACTATTGGATGCAAAGACATATCATTAAGAACCGATTCAAGAGCAGGAATTGCTTCAGCATCTTGCATCTGACCCAATGCAAATGCAGCTTCATGTGCTAACAGATTAGAAGAGTCTCTAGATGCTGCAGGAGAAGGAAAAAAAGATAGACGCGAAGTTAGTCCCAGTGCAATGATCAATAGAAATCTCCCTACTGAAACTAAATAAACATGCTCTTGCTCTTCAGAGTTTCAGAAAATCCAATTGAGAAAATCAACAGTTAAAAATGTCACATATCAAAGCAAGAAACAATCAGCAATGAGAAAGATGGCTCAAAAACCAAATGATGGAAACCACATCCTGATAACCAAAACTCGAATCTATTAATAGTCGCATGGTAAACAATCACAAGCAGCAACAAACCATATCAGCACACAAATTCTGAAGAAATTTCGTCCAATCACTAACTAAAAGGAAAATTTTGAACTTTTGTAGTTCCGGATACAAAATACCTATAAAGTTACAGAGCAAAAGACTTTTAATTTAGCCTTATACACAAGTTTTAAACGAAACACTAATCAAAGAGATAAAGTTTTCACATTTGAAACATTCATCAAGCGCCAAGACATCTTTTAACAACTATAAGAAGTAGGATTATTTTTGGCAAATTCAGTTTTAAGCAAAAAAAAAATAACTCAAATGTTCTTCCTAAAGTACAAATGAAATTTAAAACAAGAAAGAGAAGAACTTGAGAAGCAGAGATTGAAGAACAAACCGAGGATTAGAGCGTTGCGAGGTCCTGGTCCTTTCAAGTTGCGAAGAGAGAAGAGAGCTCTAAATCGCTCCGATATCGGCTGTGACTGGTCAACCAATCGCTCGCAGAGAAACTTCTCCAAGTTAACCGTCGATGAAACTGACCCATTAGATTCCATCTTCACTAAATCAGCTTCGCCGTCGTTTGAAAAAATCTGGTTCCGACAAGAGGACGACGGAGTTAGTAACAGAGCCGACGACGACTAGGTTTTTTTTAAAATAAATACAAAAGAGGAGAGAATCCGATTCGAGAAAAAGGAAAACAACGCGGGACCTAATCTGTTAATAACGTAATTTATTGTTTGGCCCGTAACAATCTTAAAATTATAAATTTGACCGCATAGTTTCGATTATCTAAATATGTACTACTTAGCGTCGACACAGTACGTTGTTGATGATTTAGCTTCTTCTTTCGACATATCAACCGTTTCCTCCCTCAAATTTGCGTTCTGAAACCATAGATCCAGGTAGGTGAACGTTGCTGCGAAATCGAGAAGCCAGGACGATTAGATCGTGTTCTATTCGATTGATCGATGAATCCTAGAAGGTTAGCTCTCTGAGTCTCTTTTTTGCCAACACATGTTTATTTAGAATTTGGGGGTAAAGATCTGAACAAATCTGATGTTGTTTCGATGTCTTCTCACGAGCTCCGTAATTTTTTAGATTAGTTTCATCAGGTGGATCCGAAGAAGCGGTGAATAAATATAGAATAGGACTGTTGCTTTGTGTTGTTGTAGATGTAGATCAGTCCCAATTCAGCTTATAAACTGCAAAATCGGGATCTGGAATTACCAGGCATCTGAGTTATTCATATTTGCTAGTGAGTCATGTTGTTTGTATAGCCTCTGCTTGAGCTTTTAAGGCTTTGGACATTAGTTGCTTTGAGTTCTTTATTGAATCATGAACGAGTGAAAGATGGTGCTGTGTCCTTGCTGAGGTATAATTTTTGTTATCAGGGAGCCGCGTGGTGGTAGAAGTTCTCTCTTTGATGGCATTGAAGAGGGAGGAATTCGAGCTGCTTCTTCTTACTCTCATGAAATCAATGAACATGACAATGAGCGTGCGTTGGAAGGATTGCAAGACAGAGTCATTCTATTAAAACGAGTAAGCTTGCCTGCATCTGGATTCTATTTGAAGACGAGCATAGCATCACATCAAGCATATGATAAATGACATTAAGAATGGGATAGCCACAAACTCTTGCAATACCTCGTTTGTGATTTACCCGTAGCTGTAGTATGGAAACCCGAAACATAGTTTCAAAATTTTCTGCACGACTAGGTTTGTACCAGATTCTGATATGTTTCTTTTGGCATGAACAGCTATCTGGTGATATAAATGAAGAAGTTGATACTCATAACCGGATGCTTGACAGAATGGTATTTCCCACAGTTTTCCGATACTATTATAATTTTTCCTTTCTTTCTCACAGACTTTACTGTTACTGAACATTTTGGATGATTTCTATTTAGGGCAATGATATGGATACATCAAGGGGATTTCTCTCAGGAACCATGGACCGGTTTAAAACGGTAAATCCGAGTAGAAACACTTTCTCAGATTCATTTGGCTTATAGCTTGATTATGTGATGCAAAGTGTATTTGATATGTTGAATCAAATCCTTGCAGGTATTTGAGACAAAGTCTAGCCGAAGAATGCTGACGCTTGTGGCATCCTTCGTGGGTTTATTTCTAGTCATATACTATCTTACTCGGTGAAACTGGCAAAACCCGGAGGATTCCTGAACCATCCATCCATGATCTCATGTTTACCTGTTTCGCTCTCTCTCTATGTTGGCTCTTACAATCTAATATCCCTCATCAGTGTAATGAACGTATGCCTCCAATGTTATAGTGTGATCTAGTGCTTGGGTTGAGGTCAAAAATTACATAAACTTTTATAAGAATATATGATGGATTATATAAACAGTAGTGTTACTTCCTTGATGTGTAAATAGCATATATGAAGTAACAATATACAAAAAGTAATTTTGCATATTGAATATATGGTGCACCAGCCGGGCAGGGTACTATTCTACCACTAGACCACTGGTGCTTGTTGTACAGAAGTTCATAAAAGAAATTATTAACACGTTCTTAACTTAAATTCATGAATATCACACTGCCTTCTTGTTGGAGACAGCAACAGCCTAACGATTTATCTTACTCATGGATCTAAATTGCAGGAAGAAATTAGTTATAACAGGGATCCAAACGCATAATGCGCAATGATGAGGACAAAAGACAGCAAATTAGGAATTCTGGAATTCAGCTACAATTGTATTAGTTGAAGTAACAAACACACATGGAACTTGACATATCTTGATGACTCTACATAGTTCTTGCAGAATTTACTCCTGAGGAATCTACAAAATGAAGTTTGAACTAAGTGTAAACACTAAACAATTGCCCTGTGGTACAACAATGGAGTAAAGAGATTATAAGCACTCCAAATATCTGGTGAAGAGATCAAAACCGTGCTGCATCATCAAAAGTAATCTTCAAAGCCTCCTTCCTTATCACTGTCATAATTCTCTGTTCCTGCAATATTATTGTTCTACAACATGAGAAGAAGGATGATTCAATTAACAATGTATACCTTGTGTAAAATGATTACATTATGGTGGATTTAGAGGCAGGTGTAACAAAGAAACGGAATAGATTGAAGCTATCTTTCTAGGTAAAGAAACTAATCAAGTGTTTCAACTTAACCCACTGAAAACCTAGGGCCCTAGCTCTTATTTCATAGACAAATAACTTGCAATCTTTCATGGGATTTAGTGCTATTACCACTGACCTTTGCCTTCTGTGGTCGAGAGATCCTGAACAATGACTTGCAGCTGATTCGTGTTATACGTCGAGAAATTGTCTGGGGAAGGAGCAGGAAAAGTGAAATCAGAATCGGTTGATGAAGCTTCAGAGTTCTCAGAGCTGTCACCAAGATCATCACGCACAACTGGCGCTGAGGCCATTGTTGAAGTTGACATAGAAGGAGATCTTAAGATGGACTTTAATTGTGAGAATTGGTCCGACATAGAATATAACAACCTGGAATACACTAAACAAGACTTAGCATCAGTAAATGTACAGAGTTTGATACTGAAGCTTTTAACGAAGCAGTCAAAATTGTTTGAAGGAAGATACATCAAAGATAATTCATGGTTGTTAAAATTACGAATCAATAATACCTGTTCAAAGAGTCTTGTAGTTGGTAAACTCTTCTTTCTGTTTCTTCTAATCTTTTACGCCTTCTCTCCCCAAGTTCTCGGGCTTCAGCACATTTTCTTTCGGAAATGTCAGCTCTTTGTTTCTCTACTTGCAACAAGGCCTGAAGAAATATCCAACATTCCAATTTATCCTCCATGCATTTGATGAAGATGATAGCCACAATATATTTTGTTCACGATATAGGGTTGCATATCAGGTAAATAGATCAGTGAACAACTTCCAGAGATAATTAGCATACACATTTCTAAAGCTAGTCACAATGTTGGTGGGTATAGAAACATTACCTTCAGCATCTCAACTTCTGCAGTGAGGGATTCAATTTCTGTGTCACGAATAGGTTCCGTTATTTGGCTAACAACAGAAAACGTGTTGTAAGGCTTCTCTGAATCGAGAACCAAGGACTTCTCATTTCCATCTTCTGCTTGGATGGAATGTTTTGTCTTTCTTTCATGTCCTATCTCTTCATCATCACTTTGATCTGAATGCATTACAAAGGACTTCTCAATTCCATCTTCTGCTTCGATGGAATGTTTTGTCTTTCTTTTATGTCCTGTCTCTTCATCATCACTTTGATCTGAATGCATCACAAAGGACTTCTCAATTCCATCTTCCTCTTCACTGGAATGTTTTTTCTTTCTTTCATGTCGTATCTCTTCATCATCACTTTGATCTGAATGCATTACTAAGGTCTTCTCATTTCCATCTTCTGCTTCGATGGAATGTTTTGTCTTTCTTTCATGCCCTATCTCGTCATCATCACTTGGCTCTGAATGCACTACAAAGGACTTATCACGTCCATCTTCTGCTTCGATGGAATTTTTTGTCTTTCGTTCATGTCCAATCTCTACATCATCACTTTGCTCTTCTGTTCTTTTGGAAAGTTCCACCGTTCTTTCATTTTCTATCTCTTCTTTTGTGTCAGCCTATACCCATGTTTTTACATCAATTAAAGGAAACCAAATATCTTGTTCTACGTAACATGCTGAATAAATTAAAACATCTGATACTCATACAGCATGAAGAGATTGCTTTGCAATACCTGCTTTGACTGTCCTAACTGTTTTCTGGCAATTCTTCCTCTCAGTTTACTTTGATAAACAAGAGAAGCTCTTTTCAATTTCTTGTAGTCAGATATAGCACTGTAACCACGCCAATATGCCTGCAAGTTGAATAGAGTTGAAAATCGTTTCTAGTTCGTGAGATAGAACGATTCCAGGATATTTAAAGTACTATAAGGATAATAAGATAAGGACCTGAATCACAGTTGCTGCTCTAGTCGTTAATTTAAAACGGTATTCATGACGTGCAGCCATTCTGCGGACTCCACTCTGCAAGGTGAGTGCGGAAGATTTGGTCTGTCCGTAATCTTTCTTGGCAATCTGTCTACGTAAGTTTTTCTGGATTTTAATGGCAGCCTCCTCCCTTCTCATGTTATGGGATATCTTTCGTGCAAGATTTCCTAAAAGATGAAAAAGAGACTTTATCGCCGTCCCTAATTTTATCTGCATATCGATAAAACCTTAACACCCAAAAATAAAAATCTAAGGCCCTTACCTCTCCAGTTAGCCTGTATATGAACTGAAGCCCTCCGCATGAGAACAAATCGTTCTCTTGTTAGACGGGTTCTAACTTGTCCCTGTATCATCCTCGCTGATTCGCCAAGCACTCTTATTCTGTGTGCATCTAGCTCGGCCATCTGACCAGCTCTTAGGAAAACTTTATTTTTTCCAATCTGCAAATTAGATTTACATCATCAACATGCACCTAGGGCCCTCGGGGAGTTATGCTATCTGGGGAACTCAACTTCCATAGAATACTGAAAAGACTACACGTATTCGACTTATGCAAAACTGGATTCCTATTAAATTTTTAGTGAACTTCGTAGGAACCTTACCTGGTAACCTGTAAGCCCCTTTTTCTCCAAAATCCATTTGCATGCAACATCTGCTTCATACCTGGTTACATTGTAAGTTTAGGAAGCTGTTACGAATAGAATTAAGGAGCAATAAAGAAAACAAGAGCAGAATATATTGCAAATTTAAAGGTAGAACTGATACATACTCTCCTTTCAGAATTTCCGGTGCAAGAATGACAAATCGATTTAAGAACTCAATGAAAGTCCTATTTGTTGGATATCCAGCGCATTTCACTCTAATGGCCTCAAGAACACCCTGCATAAGACAAAGATCATAAATCACCTCAATACATGAAACATGTTAATATGAAAAATTCAGCAGAAACACTGACCCCAGATCGTAATTGATGCAAGACATTGGCATTGTCAAACACTGTTGGTTGCAACACATTGTTTGGCTTAACACATCTGATGTAGTGGGGTTCCGTAGAGTTCAGTGTCTCCATCAGCTGTTGCAATTGTAGCTGCACCAATTAATTGAACATGTCAGCTCGTACAGATGATGAGTGTGGGATCAAAATTTCAACAATATCATATATGTGCTCCAATCATCCAGTCCTATCAAGTAGTCTTCATGGATTCGCAGGCAAGTCACCTTGAAACGAGTACCAATTGAGGAAAACTTAGATTTGCTACTCTCTTTAGGAAGAGGAGGAAAGAGGCCTGACACAAAGGAGCATTTAGAAGCATATAACAAGTCTTGATGCTCAGCAACAACATAGTCTTTGTTTTTGTCTAAAAATTGATCGGACTGGTATTGAACCTGAAAAGAATAGCATTTAGAAAATAACTTTATCTACTTTTAATACTAAAAGCAACAGAGTATGAGATGCAACTTACATCCCCTGCATAATGAACTAATGTAAAATCTGAACGAGTCAATTTTGGTTTCATGAAGCGCTTATGATCCTTGAATGTGTGATACAGTTTCTCAGAAAATGTTTCAGGAGTTGATTTTGGGAGCATGCTGCAGAGAGAATAAACGCTTATAGCACATAACAATGGTGATGGAAAGTATAGTTACTGTGTCAGAAAATAGTAAATTTTATTATACCATGCTTCATCTAGAAGAGCAATGATACCACCCGGTTTCTGCAAAAGATTGAAATCATATTATCAGGGGAAAAAAATGCAGCATGACGTAATGGAATAACAGACTCCATGAATAAAAAAGCCCCGCTACTCCATGTCTTTTTCAAGCCAGAACAACGTATAGTGAGCCAGGACACCAGAGCAGATTTGAAAACAGATAGAACTCATGCAGCTTTCATGATTATTTAAGGGTGTTCTTATATTTATTAATTATTATATAGTAAAGATATAAAACATGGATTTTCGGGTACAGATGCAAGCATTTTCTGTAAACACATAGGCTGACCTAGTGGGCTGTAGTTTAGATGATGTCACACTGCTATCTAAGAACTTCTACTGTCTACTGTTTGAATTACCCACATTGGTCGCAAATATTAAGGCATGAATCTGTCTTTATACCAGGGAAAACTAGATAATCGGAGAAAAAAAAACCTTTTCAATCAGATCCACAACATCTTGATTATCAACAAACTCCACATAGCTCCAATCTATTTCTTCTTTCTGATATTCACCTTGTTCCATTTTAAATACATGCTGTACAATATTAATGAGTTCAGATTAATTAACAGAATCTTGAGCCAAATCAGCAGCCATAACCTACGACTGACCTCATACCTGGTTGAAATGCTGTTGCAGCTTTTCATTCGTGTAATTAATACAGAATTGTTCAAAACTGCACGGAAAATATTAACAAGTCAGTTTCAACTGAAGTAGAGGTTAGATTAGGTAATATCATAGATATCTCTTTATTCCTGGAAAATGGAAACTTATAAAAAGACATCATTTCTAAGATCGCAATATTAAGGAATATCGAACATAAATAATATCTTTATCATATACATTGTCCTCTTCATACTAAAGTCAAAGGGAAAGAGAAATTGAAAAATAATCTATTAGATGGTAGGACACTGGGTGTGTCTTAACAATTAAGAACTACCCCATGCATGCTCGCAGCCATTACCTGTTGGTTTTGAAGCTCTCAAAACCATAAATGTCAAGGACTCCGATCAAGCGCCTAGAGTGAGAATCTTGCCCAATAGAGATATTTATTTTGTTAACCAACCTGGAAAATAATAATATGTCACCCTCAGTGGCATATGGTAAGAAAGGATGTTTGAACATTGACATAGAAACTTTACCAATCAAAGAGTCTAGAATATATTGTTTTTGCTAAACCATCCCTGCTAACAGCAGCGCCAAGAGGATCAAGACTTCTCTTGATAACTTCTTCTGGGGTGACCATCATACGCTTACACAAAGCATCCTCCAAGGAATGGGGATCACACCTAAAATAACAAGTTATAGTTACATGCAGTTTAAGAATTAGTAAGTTGGAAAAGTAGAAGAGCCATATAATACATGAGCAGTTCTGATGTCATTTCGAGATGAAACATTGACTGTTCATCTTTTAGAGATGATGAATCAGCATCTTCTCCCTTCGAAAATTCAATATTTCCAAGATGGAGGATGGCAGCCACAACTCTGAAAATTGCATCCTGAAGAGACCAAAAAAAAAGAAGTTAAGTTGTTGCTATTAGCAATCAACAGGTGATAGGTAAATTGGCAAATAAATTGCAAACCTGTTCTTTTTCACTTATTCCAACTACATCCATAGCCCTTCTGGTAGCAAGATACTCTTCTGCATCATTTACACCATCAAGTTCGTAGCAGCTAGATTGATTAAGATAGCGAAATGACTTAGGATCTCCCAATTTAAACCTCTCAACATCCTGCAATTTTTAATATCATCTATCAGTTCAAAGATTCATCGGATAGAAGGTATGGAAAACTTAGAAAACCCTACCTCTGGAGGAGCAGCACACAGGAGATAAAAGCAGTGATAGTTACGTTCAGGATCTGAAACTTGGCAAACACGTGACCTCTCCAAAAGGTAAGTTCTGATGGCTGCCCCTGATATTCGGCCCACGTCATCAAATTGAATCTCCACAAATTTCCCAAAACGACTGCAACAAGAAAAGGCATACATATTTATAATCAGCAGTAATAAATCTCAATAATAGTAGGTAAAAGAGACAGGTGGACAAGCAAAGCGAATTAAGGAGAAATGAAAGCACTCGATGATAAGAGCTCTAAGTTTACCTAGAATTGTTGTTCTTAACAGTCTTCGCATTTCCAAATGCCTCGAGAACGGGATTTGACTGTATCATAACCAAATTGACATAAAGAATTAGACCAAAAACCAAAAAAAATGGTATCACATTAACGAGAAAGCTCCAATCTAAGACTATAGGCTCAGGAAAGCTTAACAAACAAAAATGTCTTGTCTGTTGAGCAGATAATTGGATAGAAAGTCTTCGACATAGCCTTCAAATTTATATGATTTAGGCAGCATTTTAAAACCTCTCCCCTCCAGTGTAGGAGGCTCTGTAATTTGAAATACTAAACTAAATCATCACAACTTACTTCTAGAACTTGGTTTTCAACTGTCCTTCCTTCAGCTGCAGTATGCCCTCCAAAGTATGCATGAGCATCTTAGTCGTTTCTGTCTTTCCAGAACCACTTTCACCACTGACCAATATACATTTGTTCCTGCCTTCATTAATCATTTCCCTGTAGCAAATTTTCTCAAACTAATAAATAAACCCTTTTCTGCTATTTTCATAGAAAACAATAATAAAAATGGACAAATAATCACCTATAGGCGATGCCACCAATTGCAAAAACATGAGGACTCAGCTCTTTGCACGAGGCTTCCTTGTACTTTTCCATAACCTCAGCATCATAGAGATGGGGGAGTCCTTGAAAGGGATTGACAGCAATAAGAATGAATCCTGTATAAGTCTGTCATGATGTCAAAATACTATAACAGACTCGGCTATCACTGCATTAACTAATGGTTTTTACCAAGGACCAAAAATGAAAATATTTGGTTCACAACAAGAAATGAAATATTCTTACATAAATTTCATTGAGTTCATATCTGGTTGCCAAATTGTCGAGAACTGCAGGCTCATGCAGATAAGATAATCTAGTCATATCCTCTACTCCCTCTGAAGGACCTTCAGTGTCTTTTGGATAGAGTTTTGATAAGTTAGCAATAATCTGACCAGTAAAAGGAAATGTGAATCAGGAGTAAGGAAGGCAAATCACTAAAAGCTTGAAATGGCATTAGAACTAAAAACAAAGTAAGACAGAGAGCTGTTTGTGAAGATCCAGTTATTGGTTTTTGTATCAAACGACTGAAAGCAATACCAACATTTATAGTACGTCTTAAAGGATGCAATGTATGATGAAAGTCATTAAATATTTAATGTGTAGAACATCTAATTCTGGGAGAAAAAGAATCTCTACAAGGCAGGATAATATATAATCCCATGACTATTTCTCTAACATGACAAAGGACTACAAAAGAACTTTCCTTGAAGATAACTAAGTGATGAATCCTAAACAAATGGAAGCAATATGAGCTACAAGAGCATTAAATAACTGAAGGGAAAAAAAAAAAGTCCTATACCTCTCTGCCATCATTGGTTTTAACCTCTGCTTCATCTCCCTTGATATTAAGTACAACCCCATCAATCCATGCTCTTTCTGGGTCTTCCACCCAAACATGAGAATCCACTATGATGTTTTCAGCCATCCCGTAGATCTTCCTAGCATTTCACCAAACACCAAAAGCTTTAAACAATACTTCAAAAGGCTAATTGAGGTTATAAAATCTTGCTTTCCCAAAAAATCTCTTCCACAATTATTACTAAGGTTCGAAAACCATTCTCCCATTAATGAATCAAGCAAAAGCAAAAAACCCATGAACCGGATTCATTCTTATGACAAAAGAATCGAAGTAGACGGGAAAAACACCTGTGGATGTAATGTAACTCCCGCAATCCCTCTGAGAAACGGGTAAAACTTCAGCAACCCTTGTCGACGGAGCTATAAGACTTTTAGAGAAGACGGTGATTTCGATATTCGTATAGCACCAAAACCGTCGAGGCTCGAATTTCATGGACGTGATAGCTTCTTCTTCTTCTTCTGGGTTCAAAGGCAAATGTGAGAAATGAATTTCGTTTCTCATGGCGTGTGATCGATTTCTGCAGAGTGAGAGGCATAAACTCCCCTTCGATTTCGCCATTCCTGTGGACGCCATTGTCTCTCTCTTTCCCTCCCATTTTTAGCTCAAAGGAGAAAAAACACCAGTCCCCTTCTCACCTTAAAGACCCGGAATTTGACCCGACCCGACAACAAAACCCGATCCAGGATTCGAATCTAAAATTTGTAAATTTTCAGGATTCGAATCTAAAATTTGTAAATTTTCAGGAAAATTATATAAATAAAAACGCAAAATTGCCTTGCCCGGCAAGGTCTGATTGGGTCTTAAAAGTTAAAAGCTTTAAAAAAAAAAAGCCTAAACACCAAGGTAAAACCTTAGTTTTGTCTTCCTCTCATGAGCAAGCCGAAGTCTCTGGTGCAGCAGACCATGGTCATGCCGCTTCTGAAGCTAGGAACCCTAGCTCTACGAACTATCTGCAAACCCATCGCTAATCGCCTCAAAAAGAAGCTGGTGTTAATCCCAAATTCCGTCAATTCATCATCAACATTGCACAGGTATTAATAAAAAACCCAAATTTCCAATCTTTGGTTATGATCATCTATGGAAACGAGTTTACCCGTGTGTGTTTGTTGATCTGATTGCATAAGTTCCTCCTCTGGATATTGTTGGATATAGCCAAATTCCTGATTTTGAATCAAGGGTTTATGAAACTGCTTCTTTAATTGATATGCTTTGTGTTTGCTCAAAACTGTGACAGGCGAATCACAGGTTTACAACAAAGTTACAAAGACGCGCTTCTGGTCGTGTGACTGATGCAGTTATTCGACCCCTAAATGAAGAACGAGCTGTTCAAGCTGCTGCAGATCTTCTAGGGGAACTCTTCGCCTTCACGGTATCTTATTTCTCATGTCTTTTAATAGATTTTGATTGCTTAAGGACTCAAAGGAGAAATTTTGATATCCATCGATCTTCTCATTCTGTTTCTATGAGGTTGTTTTGCATCTGCAATTGGAGTCATTGCATCAATAAGATCACTTGCTTGTCTTAATTAAACTTGTTTTCATCAATTCAATTGGTTATGAAATAGACAAACACGTCTTCTTCTTTTTAGGTTGCAGGGGCTGCTCTTGTCTATGAGGTGCAGAGAAATGCCAGAGGAGAAGCTAAAAAGGAAGAGAAAAGACAACTAGAACTAGCTGTGAGCTCTCCTATTCACACATTTAACAATGTCTCTGAATATCTTGTTTACTGAAAGGTCTCTCTCTGTGTTTACCAGGAAGTCAGACGAAATCATGAGAAGATGGAGAAGGAAATTGAAGAGATGAAACAAAGATACTGCGTGCTTCATGAAGAGCTTTCTAAGCCGCTTACTGCACAGATTAATAAGCCAAAAGGCTTAGCTTGGCTCTTCAACTACATGTGTTTTCAGAATGCTGCTGAGAAGATACAGTAGCAGAGCTAACAACAAGAGCCTCAAAGCTTTTTAAGCTTAACTTGTAGATAAGTTTCAGATAAGATATAACCAAATAGGTTAACTTCAGAAGAGAAGAGATCTGTGTTCGTTTAGGCTTGGACCATTATCTCATAAACCGTACTTCCAAACTCTTCTTACATTGAAATGTTATTTCAATCTTTCTCATTTAAGCCTGTAGACCTTATTAAACCTAGCAATACCAAGATTGTTGTAGATGATTTAATATAACACAACAAAGACTGAGACAACTATTCAAACTTCTCTATACTTTATATGATTACTCTTTTATTCTTTCTTCTTCACTCCGAAAGATTGTGAATTTTCTTTTCTATTTGTGATTTCAGACTGATAGATGATATAGAAAGGAAAAAAAATATAGGTGTTGGAAAAATATCAAGGTGCAATACATGAATTATGAAAACATAAAGCTCAATATGTGGTGACCAAAAAAAAAAAAAAAAGCTCAATATGTAATTTTCATAATTCAGGGAAAGGGGGTATAACAGTAAAATCACAGGATTCAATCCATCAAAAAAATTTCCAAACCTACTGCTACTAATTTCGACACATCATCTCTCTCACTAATCGGAGAATTTCTCCTCTTCTCTTTTCAGCCGCCATTCGCCGCCGCGATTTCCGTCGTCGGGGACTTTTCTCCTCTTCATCGACGGTGATTTGCCGTTAGTATCTGTTTTAACTCTCGGGATTTGGCAACATCTACCAAATATTAAGACGCCATGACCATTTTCTCAGTTCACTCCACTATCTTCAGTCGAGCTTCCGTCGTTCTTCTCTCTACCAATGGCTTCAAACGGTTTTCATTCGCTTCTTCGTTTTCTTCCACCGCCGTGTATTCTCCACCACTGCCTAAAATGAAAAAGCGGCGGTACCCAATCGTCTCTGCTGTTGATATAGGTGGCGTCACAATCGCTAGAAATGGTTCGTTCATAGACTTGATTTTTAAAGTTATTTCATTTTAGCTGAAGCTCATTTTGGGATTCTTATGGTGAACAAGTTAAATCCATCACACATTAGACTTGGTCGAAACGAAGTTAAATTTAACATCTTTTAATACTCTAATGTGTGATCTGTGTACACTTAATTGAAATTACAGATGTGGTGAGAGATGATGATCCTACGAACAATGTACCAGACTCGATTTTCTCTAAACTAGGAATGCAGCTACACAGAAGGGATAAGCATCCGATTGGAATCCTAAAGAATGCTATATACAACTACTTTGATTCCAATTACGCTAAAAAGTTTGAGAAGTTCGAAGACCTTTCCCCAATTGTTACCACAAAGCAAGTAAGTTTGCAGTACTCAAAGATAGTATTTTTTTCCTGAAACATCACTTGGTTTTCTATGTAATTAGTCTTCGTTTGTTTTGGTACCAGAACTTTGATGATGTGCTAGTTCCTGCTGATCATGTAAGCAGAAGTCTGAATGACACATACTATGTAGACTCGCAAACTGTTTTAAGGTGCCATACAAGTGCTCACCAAGCTGAGCTGCTGAGGAAAGGTCATAGTCGTTTCCTTGTTACCGGGGATGTTTATCGTAGAGATTCTATTGATTCTACTCATTATCCAGTTTTCCATCAGGTGTTCTATTCTCGAGGTCCTTCAATTTTGTTTTTAAATTTGCTGTTTTGCTAGACTTCATGTCTTTCTGATACAAGATGTTTATGTCTTCGTTTATCTATTACAGATGGAAGGGTTTTGTGTTTTCTCTCCTGAGGACTGGAACGAGTCTGGCATGGATCCTACGTTATATGCTGCTGAGGATTTAAAGAAATGTCTAGAGGGATTGGCACGTCACTTATTTGGTACATCAAGATCTATTATATAATCTAAATTACATGGAAGATGGTTTATTATAGTAGTTTGGGATTGTTATCTCATTAACTTCAAAAGAAAGTTGGTAAAATATTATGAAACGGTTTAATATGAACTTCATTTTTTGTCCGCCAGGTTCTGTGGAGATGAGATGGGTTGATACATACTTCCCATTTACCAATCCATCTTTTGAGCTTGAGATATATTTTAAGGTAGTTTTCCTATCTGATATAACTATGTTTTAAAGAGTCACACTTCTATTTTTGTATGGTCGTCTTTTCCCAAAAACATATATGTTAATCGCTGGAAATTATAGCATGTAACACAAGCTTTATTTGGTTATTGGTTCAGGACGACTGGTTGGAAGTTTTGGGCTGTGGGGTGACCGAGCAAGGAATTTTGAAACAAAGTGGATTAGAAAATAATGTTGCTTGGGCCTTCGGACTTGGACTTGAGAGACTTGCTATGGTTTTATTTGACATCCCTGATATAAGACTTTTCTGGTCATCAGATGAACGATTCACGTCCCAGGTGATTAATTTGGTGACAACTTAGAATTGGGATGATGAGATTAATCGAATAAGAATATGACTTATTTTCTCACAATGTATTTGATGTTACTTGCAGTTTGGAAAAGGAGAGCTTGGAGTCAAATTCAAGCCATTTTCAAAGGTTAAACATTCAGTCTTCACGTTCATCTCTCGTAGGCTAATAAATATCAGTTCAAGGACCTATTTGTCTTGTAAGTTGTAATGACAACAACCAAAACCTTGTGCTGTAGTATCCTCCTTGTTACAAGGACATCAGTTTCTGGATAAGTGAGTCATTCACGGAGAATAACTTTTGCGAAGTTGTTAGAGGAATTGCTGGGGATCTTGCTGAAGAGGTATATCTTTTTATTGGTTTGGGGAGAATACAAATGTTAGAGGAATCAAATTTAAATTTCAGCTTTACTTGGATCATCGCATTTGTTTGTTTATATAGCCTATACTATTGATGCACAGGTGAAGTTAATTGACAATTTCACAAATAAGAAAGGGATGACGAGTCATTGTTACAGAATCGTGTTCCGTTCCATGGAGCGTTCTCTTACGGACGAAGAGGTCAATGCATTGCAGGTAATCATTTTTGCCTCTGCTTTATTCATTGATCCAGATCATCACAATGGGAAAAGCACATAAAGGAAACGTTAAAATTGTAAACGAGTTAACTTTCATAGATAAAATGTTACTTTCGTAATAACCATAAGACAAATCCTTATAGGAAGGTATTGTGTTGAGATATGCTGTGTGAAAATGTTTTAAAATGGTGACTTTTCCAAATGCAGAGTAAAGTGCGTGATGAGGTTGAGAGGAAGCTAAATGTCGAATTGAGGTGAGAATTTTGAAAAGTAGAGTTGATTTGCATTTCAGGTTTGACATTGTTATTCCTACACAAAATTTATTTACTTCTGGCCGAATTGCATGACCCTCAAATAAAAATATATGTACATTGGTTTTCGTTATTAATGGAAAGAAAAATAAGGTGTTTCTATGTATGCTTCAACTTCGCAAGTTTTTTGTGACTCTGTTTGCATCTGAATTATTAGCAAAGTATTTTTACAACAAAATATATATGCAAAATGCCAAATAAATAATTTGTCAGTGATCCAACAATACAAGCTACAGTGTTTGTTCATAATTCTCTCACCATTGCCTCAGAAAAGAGCTTGTTAGCTAGCTGGGTTGCCTCAAAATCTGACTCAAGGGATAATTCTGTTCAGTGTGTTCGCGTATGTGTAGCTTGAAAACGAAACAAAGAGCTTCCGAAACCTGCACAAAATCACAAACAAACAAATAACAGATATTCATGTTTCAGTTCTTACCATTCATCATGGTTAGAGGTAAGAAAAATATATCATATCTGGTGAAGGCGACATACCAAACCCACTGGCTTAAATGTTGTGCCATTGCTTTGAAGCTTTTCCAAGGCTGCTCGTTTATGATGATTACCTTACTTGGATGTTTTTTGTCGGATAAAATTGACAGCCAAATGTCGACAGGTCCACAGTACTTGCGAAAGATATTAAGGCTTACCTGATTTACAAAAGCATGTAACATTTTAGCTGAATCGAGTTTACAAATGATAGGAGCTTGAGGATACTTTTCAGAGTCGAGAAAATAAAGTAATGACTTACTAGTTCCCAAGCTTTGATATTTTTTCCTGAATTAGTTTGCAAGAAATTCCTGCAAGTATTATAACACACGGATTAGGAAGGATTCTGTGGTTTCATGACTGGGGACTGAAAGAAGTCTTAACGTACAATACTCCACGATGCACATCTCGGTGATTGCAATGACCAGAAACACCATGGTTATCAAATGTTATGATCTGAAAGCAGCTCACAGAGAGTCAGATACAGAAATATTTCTAAGTGGATACCCTGATGAGTGTCTTTATCTAGGTATTAGGAGGCAAGTCATACCGTGTGGATATCGTGTTTAGTGACTTCTTCTTCGATGACTTCTGTTAGCAAATCATGGCTCCATACTTTCCCAAAGCCATCCTGAGAGAGACAATACAACATACGTGTGCCCTCAAATGAGAGGGAATGATAAAAATGTGTACTGGGGAGATATATTTGCACTGACCTGTAAATTTGGATGGTCCAGAACTCTTAACTGTTGAAGCGAAATCTGCATCACGTTCAATATATATATAAGCAAACAACGTTTTACTGCAAGTACAAGACACATGTCAAGAACTCAAGATCCTTTCTAAGTTAAATTGGATTTACCTTGAGCACTGCACAAGCCTGATGCAGCTCATCTTTCCGAATGCTTCCCATACCATCAGCGTTACCTGCAGCATAAAATAATTCATCTAGTGTTCAAAATGAATTCCAAACTGCATCTTAGTAAGCATCCCACTAAAAAAATCCGCAGTTCGACAACTTTCAAAAGGAAACTAATACAGCAACCCGAAAAAAGTATGAGAAAGGCATATTACCAGTAGACAAGCATAACATGTGAAGATTGTATGCATTGGAAGTTAAGTAGTTTATCACTGGAGAAAAGAACCTGTCAAGAAATCAATCTCAAAGACTCATCTCTCAGCAAAACAATAGATAGAAAAATCTTGACAATTCGATCAATCAATATGCGGAGAGACACATTATCAAATATATCTTACATTGACTCATCATCAGGATGTGCAATAACGAACATAATATTTTTCTTGTCAGGGGTATTACTACCTGAAATCAAGTACAATAAAATAAATCAAAATTCTCAAAAGAAACAAGTCTTAACCGGTAAAAAATTTGTCTTTCCGGCTACTTGCCATGACCGATAATAGCAGCTCTGGAGTTAGAGGTTCCTCCGAAGAAAACTTTGCATAAAGAAGCCACCCAGATAACAATCAGAGAAAGAGATACCACAAGCCATGCCATCTGAAGATTGTGAGCAGATCAGAGACTTTTTCAATTTAAAGAATGAACAGAGCCGTCAAGAGAAGAACACTTCCGTCGATGACTCTAATCCCTTTGATCTTTTATTCTCCGGTACTAATGCTCTGAGTTCTCTGCCACCGATGATCATCAGAGCAACATTATCAATAGGTTCTTAGAATTTAATCTTAAAAATAGTTTATTATTAAATTTGAAAAGGTAAGAGTTTTTTGTTTTTAGTTTTGAAGTGTGTTTAATGGTAGACTCTTAATTTGAAATTCTTAGAAAATTTTTATTTTAAAATTAAATTAAATTAAATTTTAATTTTAAAAAAGTTTATAATTCTCTTGGTTTCAGTCATAATGTTGTGTTATGTGACTTGAAGGAGCATGAGCCATTGAAGTATTTATGTTTGGTGGTGAGAATTGTTGGTACTGAGGGAAATCCTGCACATGGATTGGTATCGATGTCTCCGCAGGTTCATATTCAAGCTCATTTTACATAATGTTTTTGAAAGAGTAAACATGAATAACTTTTCAGATCAAATTCAAGAAAAGGAAAAAACCTGCAAGTAGGTAATAATATCAATTGTGGATACTCTAGTTCCTTGTTCTTCTTGTCTCACAACTCATTGGTAAAGTTTCTCCTGTAAAACAAAAAGTCTAATTCATTAGAACAAAAGAACTCAAAACTTCATATTTACAATATCATGAAACGCTATTGAATGATGCCAAGAACGTTGTGCTGCCCCCATAAGGAAGCAACGATCCCTAGTTCATCAATTGAGTTAGTCTGAGTAGAAACAAAAGCAGGCACTTCAAGATCAAAAAGGCCACAACTTTGATCAGTAAGACCACGTATTAGCTTTATATGAAGATTAGGTTCATCTGATAAGAACCAATTCAGAGTGTCTCTCGCTCCATTGATTCAATTAGGACAAACTTAAAGAGATCATATCAGCACAAACAAGACCAAAAAAAACAGAACAACCAAAACATGATATCCATGAGTTAAACAATAACTCTAATCTTGAAATCAAATAGCAACCAAACAAAACACAAGCCTTCAAATTTCAAGGTAGTCAACCAACATCAAACAAGAAAAGTATTCAACTTTTTTTTAATCGAACCCAGAAATAAAAATCAAAACTTGATACAGAATAAGGTAAAGAGAGAGAGAGAGAGAGAATAGACCATGCCGCGACGTTCACCGGCGAGGAAAGAGACGCGTTGGGGGTTCATGGCGTGGGTATAGAGCTGAGAGAGCGAATTAGCAGCACCCCCAAACGCTACATTGTTCGAACAACCTCATCGAGCCGTGTGGCCTCGGATTTTTGTTTCTTCACCTTTAGAGTTCGAACGGATTACACAAACCCTAGATTTGATAAATTAGGGATTCGGAGGATTGAAATTGGTAAACGAAAAAGAAGAAGAAGAAATGATTGATTGTTGATGAAGGGAAGAAAAGAGAGAAGACAGAACGCGAGCCATTGTTTTTTTTTCTCTTCTTTTTCTTCTTTGACCAATACAATAATGTCATGTGTGCGTCTCTTACCCTTGTTTACGTCTTTTAAGCAAGATACGTCTCTTGAGAAAAATCAACATTAAACTTTAAAATTTAATCTTAAAAACCTTAAGAATCACCTAACATCTTACCGATAATGGTCGTCTCAGTAGGGATCCGAACCTTTCCCGGCAACGGCTGGGTTTTTTTTCCGATTTCTCTTTTTTTTTTGTGTGTACCTGTTTCCGTTTTGTAAAGCCCATGGGCTTTTTATGGGGTTTGGCCCTCTTAATATGTGTTTCGATATTGGTGATTGCGTTTAAGTGCCAAAGCCAGATTCTTGTAAAAGAGAAAATGATGAATTCGTCACGAGTAGTTAAGCTAAAACTATACTTTACGATATCAATTAGGAACATAAAAAAAAAAAAAAAGTATATAAGAAATTTCCCCGACAGATCAAACTGCCTTCACGTTACTTATGCTCCCACCTTATTGTATGATATATATATACACAAACTGCCCTTTTTTATATAATTATTCTTTGTGCTCAAGGCTTTTTCTCCAATTCACCAAAACACACAGTAACATGCATAATCATTTGTCACAAGTTGATGAACCTATATTAAAATCCGATGCTTTTCTTTTCTTCATCTTTTTCTATATTATATGGCTGTGAACGCGTAACTTCCGTGTGAATCATTCATCAGTTAATTATGAAACAACTACGATTGATTTTAATAAATAAATATATATATGTTGATTTCACCAAAACAAATGATACGATTAACCAAAACCACTTTATATATATATATTCCAATTAACAGTTTATACCATGTATCTTTGTTGATGTCAGATGTATAAATAGCAGAAAATATCCATATATATATATAATCACTACATATTATTATAAACTTTGTGATTTGGTGGTAATTAAAATAAGAATAGGATCACAAACGATGCAGTCTTGTGATTTGTGACCTTATATGACAGTGAAAAAAAACATGTACGAATCGTTACGGAAGATTCCGTATGTTTTTTTTTTTTCGGTTATCCAATTTTATGGGCTGGAACTACTGATTTCCACATTCTTGTTTTATAACAATTTTATTGTTTTGGTTTGCTTCTGAATCTTATCATGTTACTTGTTGGTATCAGTTTATGATTCGATATAACGTATTTTTGGCTTTCAACGTAAAATCTAATAAAGAGATATTGAAATTGGTTTTGTAGTTTTATTACTCTTCTTACTTACTTACACCCCCGATCGAGTTATAATTAGCAATTTAGGTTATGAGAAGCCTTATAAACCTACATTAATTACTAGTTATATAGTATAACCTATGCTATCGAATAATCTGTCACATTTGATTGGTCTTGTCAGATATTCCGATTCTCAATGCTCAATCATTTTGCTGGTCTCAAGACATTGCTAAGCTAAATGCAATTTTGATATTTGTGCACTTATATTTCCATAATACTTGGAAATATATAAACCCATCTTTTTGTATCCATACATCTGAGTTATTGGTTATATTGGTCTGAGCGACTGTGAAAATAACGTACTTGATTGATTAAAGATTCCTGGAGATGTTATTCCTGTTATCTAGGTTTCTTTGTCAAAATCATGTCCATATTGGAGATGTTAAATTTTCATTTTTAAATATAATAAGATCTTTTTAGGAATCATATTTCAGAAAAGTTTGAAAATAAAATAAATTTGTCATAAAAATTAAGAAAAATAGTTTAGATTTTATGAATAATAATTAATTAGTAAGAGTAAAATAATAATAAAATTAGTCTATATTTAAACTCTTAAGTTATAAACTGTAAAGTATCTCTCTATCTTCACAAACCCTAATTCTTAAACCTTAACCCTAAAATCTATCCAAAGTGGTCCATTTTTCTTAATTCTGACACTTTTAATCTTTGTGATTCATATTTTCTCAATCATCTCATATCTTCTGAAGCTAGTTTCTTGTTTGACTGAAATATAATTTGTGTAACCAAAAATTGCAAAATAAGTATTTGTGAATATATTGTAAACAATAATGACATAATACAAATACCTTACGGACCACAGTATTCATATAAAAGATATGTGAATATATATATATACATGCACATGTGAAGCAGAATTGGGTGGATTAAGAATGAGAAGAGAAGCACATGGAAGCACACTTGCATGAACATGTTTGTATTCATAGGCAAACCACTTTCAGTTTTTATATAATGACTTATTGCAAACATTATTATTACCATGCTCTCTTTTTTTTTTTTGGTAAATCAAACACTAATACTCATATATACTAGTTTATCTCTATTATTGTGTACTTTTTATTTCTATTTTGTGTACCAGAAAATTCTCTTTTTATTAATATGTAAACTTTTTTTCCAGACCAAACATGTTTTTATCTTTTGATACGAAGTTTCCTCTCTAAGTGGAACTTGAATTTGGGTTCAGTTAAACCACACTTTACTTTCCTTTTTATATTTGTTTTTCAATTTCACATATTTAACTTTATTTTTTATTTGGTGATACACTTAATTATCTCCCAGCTAATCGTTCGATTCACCAACACCGTATATGCTACAATTTTCCCACTACTAATTGAAAACTTTTTTTTTTTTTTTTTACATTGGCCAAAGCTGACGTACGACTGCAAACCATTCTTCGTCCAATTATATTTTGATCAAACTGTTATTTCAATTACTAAAAATTCTCTTCGAGTTCCATTTTCCCGTAACTTTTAGATTTTATGTTTGCCGGGCTTGTTGTAGAAATTTTGTAGTTTGGTCTTATGTAGAAAACTAAAGAGAATATCCTTATGAGTACTGTGTTAGAGGACCACCATTGATGTTTGGATTGTTTGGAGTAAAAAGTGTATTGAAAAACATTTAAATTGAATTGTAAGTATCATATGAATAGTGAAACGATATATATATAAACAGTTGGAACATTGAAAACCTATATCTAGAACGAGGAAAATAACTTCATATACGTTTAACTTTTTTTTAGATGCATACAAATTTGGTTTAACAACTTATATATTAATTAACACATGCACATAACACCAGCATTATATTTTTAACCGAATCAAGTTCGTTTTTACATCCTCCTTTTTATTTATTATTATCTCTTTAACTAGCCATCTATTTTATTTTTTATTATCATATATAGAAAACTATGGGGGAATTGGATCAAATAAATGATCTTCTGTTTGATAAACAAATAATCAAATGGATTGGCCTACATGGGGCATTGGTTTGGGGACAAAGCAAAAAAAAAAAAAAAAAAGAGATCGAGAGGTCTCACAAGTCACAAAAGATTTATACAAAAATATTTATAAACAAAAAAAACAAAGCACATGTTCTGACACATGAACATGGTTCCCTTCTTCACTTCTCCTTTTCTTTCAACAGCTCATTTCTCTCTATCTCTCCCACTCTTCCACTACTCTCAGCCTCCCACTCAATTCATTCTTCTCTCTTTTTTTTCTTTTTTGTATTTTTATAATGCTATTTTAATTTCTACCCTTAAATTAGCATTGCAATGTCATAAATTTTCTATATATATATGTTACAACTTACAACTGATGATTGGTTCTCTTGTTATTTGTTTGCTTATAGTATGTATAGTATAGAGAGGGAGTTAATGTTTGATTGCTTATAGTATGCATACACAAGCTAGCTCTCTATAAAACTAAAATTGTACATGTGAAGGACAGAAAGAGAAGTGTGTATTAATTGTATTGGACTATTCTTCTTTGTCATTTGACATAAAAGTGGTCACTCTTATGCTATCAACTCATTTTAATTAATGTCCATACACACTACTGTCATATAACCTTACGTATGATGATCTTTTCATTTAGGTGTAACTGTGAGTCGAACCAAGTAACAATATATAGAAAGTTGTGTTTACTATATAATGACAAAAAAAGAAGATAATGAACATGATGCATTTGGTAACAATATTCAAATCATATACTACTGTACATACCAAATTTGTAATCAAATAGAATTAATAGGGTTAAGAGCATAATCATGTTACCATTATACTGAATGCAAACACTTGGCATTGTCTACTGCGTCATTTATATTTTCATCAGGATGTTTAAGCCGTAGTTAGCGAGCAAAAACTTCTTCAAAAAGATTCCTTCACGGCCTCCATATATAATAAGTCGAGCGTTTCCTATGCTCAATCTTACAAAAGTCAGAAACTAAACTTACAAGTGTTACTCTTCGATCGGTTCGTGGTATTACGCATACCATTTCATATATATGATGATATACTCCGGTAGCATTAGGGCAAGTGTCAGCTCGTCGGACGGTCATAAAACAAGGCGGAGGAAAATGATCAAACGGCGGAGAAAAGAGGAGAGAAAAGAGGAAGCATGTGGAAGAGAGAAACATAAGAATGTTTCCAAAGGATTAAGATAATAATAATATCATATCATACATTGTTTTTAAAAGAGAAAATGAAAAAAAGTCTCTCTAACAAGCAAAAACAAATTAAGGGAGGAGGGGTTCACCAAGAGCACGTGCTGCCTGATTCTCCATTTTGCTCTTGAGAAACCCTCAAAGCTTTTTTTTATTTTGATTATTTTTTTCTAAACGAAACAGCTGTTTCATAGCTGTGTCTGATCTCTCTCTCTCTCTCTCCCTCCCCATGTGACCCTACTCAGAGATATAAACTCTTTGAGATCGAATCCATTTTATATATATATAAATTTTATTTAGCTTTTTCTCTCTATTATAAAATTTATCCCTATCTCTCTATATCTCTTACTTCTGTTTTGTATAACTACTCTTTGTTATACATAGCCATTTTAGTTACTCTGGTTTGTTTCTCATTCCTTTCCTCTCTCTCTCTCTCTCTCTAATGGTTCTTCCTCTGTTTTAAAATCTTTGACGATCTTAAAATTCCAAAATTCTTCTTGATCCGTTTCGTTTCTTTGTTTCTTCTGATTTTGAAAAACATAAAATTGTGGTGTGTGCCATTAAATCTCTCATTAATGGCACAACTCCCTCCAAAAATCCCGACCATGACGACGCCAAATTGGCCTGACTTCTCCTCCCAGAAACTACCTTCCATCGCCGCAACGGCAGCAGCGGCAGCGACCGCCGGACCGCAGCAACAGAACCCTTCTTGGATGGATGAGTTTCTCGACTTCTCAGCGACTCGCCGTGGTACACACCGTCGCTCTATCAGCGACTCCATCGCTTTCCTCGAACCGCCTTCTTCCGGTGTTGGGAACCACCACTTCGACAGGTTCGACGACGAGCAGTTCATGTCCATGTTTAACGACGACGTGCACAGCAGCCACAATCACCACCACCACAACATGAACAACCTCAACGGCAATGTGGGTGCCACACGTTCCTCCTCCAACACCTCCACGCCGTCCGATCACAATAGCCTTAGCGACGACGACAACAAAGAAGCACCACCGTCCGATCACGATCATCACATGGACAATAACAACATAGCCAACCAAAACAACCCCGCCGGTAACAATTACAACGAATCAGACGAGGTCCAAAGCCAGTGCAAGACGGAGCCACAGGATGGTCCCTCGGCGAATCAAAACTCCGGTGGCAGCTCCGGTAACCGGATTCACGATCCTAAAAGGGTAAAAAGGTAATTTCATTGTCTTATTTACTATTTCCAAAAACCCCAAGGAAGGTCATGCATGCACGTACCGTTATGATATAACTGATAACTCCATATATATTATAAACCATTTTTTATAAAAATAGTTGTGTCACATCGATACAATCTAAATGTTTGTTTTTGCTGAAATTTTCTACAGAATTTTAGCAAATAGGCAATCAGCACAGAGATCAAGGGTGAGGAAACTGCAATACATATCAGAGCTTGAACGGAGCGTTACTTCATTGCAGGTATAATTTCACACACAAAATATCATTTAATTACTTATGTTTTGTTAATGTTTGGCATAATCAAAATTAAAATAAAAATAAAAATACTGATCGATCAATACAAATCATTTAAATTGTGGGATATGAAGACTGAAGTGTCAGTGTTATCTCCAAGAGTTGCGTTTTTGGATCACCAGCGATTGCTTCTCAACGTCGACAACAGTGCTATAAAGCAACGAATCGCAGCGTTAGCCCAAGATAAGATTTTCAAAGACGGTAATTTCCTCTCTCTCTCTCTCTTTTTTTTTTTTTTTTACTTCTAATTTTCCATACTTATATCGAATTGTACATATAGAATATTTTTTCCCTTTTGACTACTACTCTACTGTCATGATATTTTTCACTCCATGTAGTTAATACTCACTGACAATATATAGGCCTCGACCAATAATTATTCTTTAGGAAAAATAACTATACAATGAAGTACTTGCGGCAAATGCATGCTTCATGATTCATACACTTACAAAATTTCCATGAATTATAAATGGTTTCCTTGAATAATATAATGTTGGTAGATGTTGTTGTTGTTTTTGTTTTTTTTTTTAAAGGTTTTTTATACATCTCAAGTAATTATTTCCATAATTTGGGTCTTGCTATAGTACAAAATCGTGGATGCTAGTCTGATTAATAAGCTAGAACAACTGTCCATGTGTGCGCATATGACATTATTATAAGTATACGTATATATTAAAATGAAACATGTGACCTTGTGACTACTCATTGGCTTATATATATTGACAGTAGTAATTGTGAATTTAATATTTGCAGCTCATCAAGAAGCTTTGAAGAGAGAAATAGAGAGGCTTCGACAAGTGTATCATCAGCAAAGCATTAAGAAGATGGAGACTAATGTTTCCGATCAATCTCCAGCCGATATCAAACCGTCCGTTGAGAAAGAGCAGCTCCTCAATGTCTAAAGCTGTTCTCTCATTTAAGATCTTATCTCTTTATCATGGCGAAAGGATTCTTGACCATAAAAACCTCTTTGTGTCAAGAAATTAATTTATCAAAGAAGACTTTTTTTTTTCTTATTTAATCTAATCACATTTTTTTTTAAGTTGTGATGAATTTGCTTTTGATGTATCTGATTTTTTTTTCTTTTTTTTTGGTCTTATGGAGTGGGAGGGGGAAAAGTGAGAATGATATGTAAAAAGAATTTAGCTGATTTGTTGTTTATTCCATTTTTTTTGTTGGAGTGTCTAGTATTGTGTACTAATTGATATTTTCCCGAATATTATTTGTTTCCAGCATTTTATTGTCAAATTTAGGTTAACCCAATAGTTAAAGACTTCTTCTTTTACATGGTTCTAATTTTGATATGTGCCATCTCTCCATATATATAAAATATATATATATATATATGTAACAGTTGATATTTCGTTTCTAACTTTCTATTGAAAAAAGAACAATGTTTTGGAACCATGAAAATATTTACGCACATAGTTTCAAGATTTATTTATATTTGAAGTGACTGAAAGCGATTTTCTCATTCCTTAAAAACTCCAACGATATTATTCCATTGTTAAGGAGAAAAATCAATTAATTATGCTGATCTAATAATATGTCTTTATCCATTTCTTTCTGAGAAACAAAAGTGAAAATGTAGGATGTTGTTGTTACTAGCCTATGTAGCCATTTCCTGACGTAGGGACTGGACATGTAGTTGATGTCATATAGAATCTAGATTGGTATATGTTTACAATTACAGACCGTAGAAACAAAAGGGTTAATGAGTTTTATATTTGTGTTGTTATGAATCAAAAACCTTTATGAGAAAATAGGGTCAAAGTGGGTCAAAATCTGAAAAATGTGGGGGTGAAAAAAGGAAAGCGAGAACGTGGAGACATCTGAAGGCTAAGCTGTAAGTTCACGTGCTGTGTTCCTCGGCCTGGACCACTACGGTCTTTGCTACATGATTGGCTTTGTTTCCTCTTTTCTTTTTCTTTATTTATTTTTTATTCTTTAAAAAAAGTCTTCTAATCAAAACGATTTTATCTTTTAAGTAGTGTTTTTTGGGACGGTCAAAGTTAAAATGGACGAAATAGTAAAGTTACAGAGGAAAGCTACAAAGTGTAGCAAGGTTAATAATAATTTAAAAGGATTATTATTATTAAAAAATTAAAAACTGAAGAGGATAAGCTTAAAAAATAAAAATAAAAAGACAAGAAGGTTTAGTGGTCTCGTGTTGGCCCTATTGGGATAATATGCATGAAAGCGAGATATTGTCAGTTTCATTGTTTTTTAACTTATGTCAGTGCCAATACCAACCAATTCGCTCCTCTCATTGGGCCTTTATTATACACCCTTCTTTATACTAAATATATCTACACATACAGTAGTGTACTGAGACAAAAAAAAAAAAAAAAAAAAAAAAAAACAAGAATTAAGTATACAACGAGGTGAGCTTCATATGTATAGAATCAATCAGTAACAAAGTATATCAGACGGAACCAGACCGTTCGTCAAAATTCTTCACACTAAAATCAATTTGACCTCGAATCATTGAATCTATACTAGAGACCGGACACGCACACCGAAAAACCAGTGAATCTCGTAGTTGTTCGATCACAGTATGTTAACGAATCTCAAAGATGATTGAATCTTTACTACTAACTGAAACTTAGCATTGATCACAACCGTTGGTTACATTTTCCTAAGAGAAGATAATACATTCGATCATATCATTGTCTATCATACAAAATGAGGATGCTAAATTCATGTTCTTTCAAACGAGCTTCTTTAAAACCTCCACCGATTTGCAGAAACCTACAGGGAAAATAAATAAAACATTGAGACAAAAATCAGCCATAGTGGGGAACCCGAAGAAAATAAACAATTATTGGTGGGTGGATATTATAAGGAATGACACTAAGAATATTTTGAGATATTTAGATTCTTATGCATATATACTTGAAATTCGAAAATGGCCATTACAAAACTCTACTCATCTCCTAAATCCGTTTTTCTATATTATGTGTCTTACTGCTCATCTAATATAACATCACCACAATATTGATTTTTTATAAATGAAAAGAGCAGATTCAAGATTCCTCCATAATGACTACAGGGAGCGAATATAACGTTCTAGTCACCAATTCAACGAAACAGAGCAAAGTTCTGCTGGAAAATTTTGGTAAAGGAGAGTAACGTACCTTGAGGGCATCTCAAGTTTCTTCTGTAGCAGCAGCAACTTCAGATGTCTCATTTTTCTTGCTATCCGAACGTGTTTCTCTCAAGATCTTCACTTCATTTTCAATCTCGATGAATTTCTCATTTAGCGAGTCTACTGTTTCCATGAGTTCTTCAAATTCTTTAAGCCAGCGACTTCCAAACTCCTCAATCTGTCCCTCATATAGAGCTCGTGCCGTCCTGTCTTCCTCTTCTTGCTTCAATCTCAGCTTTTCAATTTCAGTAGTGCTCAACACCAAACCTCCAGAACCTTTGACATCCTTGTAGACTGGTTTATCATCAAGCAACGGGCAACGTTTTCTGTGCTCTCTTGATGCCTTTTTTGTTACTTTCAAAGCCTTCCTGTAACCCTCTACTACACTTGTCATCATACGAAGCTCACTCTCAAGCTTATAGATCATTATATCTTTCCTCTGTTGCTCCTCAAACTTGGCTCTTTCCAATTCCTGAATCATTGCTGCCTTGCTTTCAAGTTCGTTCATTAGATACTGCTGGTTCATAACAGATTGTTCACGCTCTCGATCTTTTTCAGCACATGACAACCTAGCTTTTTCCATCCAGTATGCCATCTGTTCAAAGCACACGTCACCTGGGGGTTTATCATCCCAAGAGGGTTCTTCGGTCCTCAACCTCTTATTGCTGGGGTTATGAGAGTGATAAGTAATTTCATTCTCGTGTTCAATCTCCCTCTTGTTATTGCCATTCCCAAACAGAGAAGAACTACCTGGACCCATAGCCATATGCATGTCAACCCTAGAACCAAGGAAATCACCACCAATCGAATTGCCATGCATTTGTAACCCGGAGTTATAACCTAACGGAGATGCATCTCCCAACATGAGATTCTCTTGGCCAACTCCATGAAGGGAAACACCATTTGGAAAAAAAGGAAAACCCCCTTCATGCTTTTCTTTATCTTCCTCAGTTTCGTCTTCCCCGACATCTTCAATTGGTTCATCTTCTCCCATTTCCATGGATCCTTCTATATGATTCTCTTCATCTCCCTCCCTAGCACTACTAAGATCGCAACGGCGAAGGAATTGAGAACCAGCATGAGTGTCTTCATTCCATGCCCACCTTTCATCCACTTCTTTCTTATTCTCCTCAATATCCATTGACTGTCCCTCAACAGGACCTCTCTCCTCCTCAGAGACCATTTCTGACACAGTATCTTGCCCGAGATTCAATTCGATCATATGTTCATCCACATACTTGTCTTCTTTTGAGTCAGTGGCACCATCATCCCTACCTGAATCTGCAGCACCAACATCTTCCTCCTTCACCTCCAAACAGTCTTCTTTCGGGGATTTTACCATAAAATCAACCTCCTTTACATCATCATCATCTTCCTCATCCACCTTAGATGTTTCCCTGAGTAAATCTTCTCTCTGTGTTTTGATCAACAGCTGCAGATGAGAAGCAAAAAAACAATCACCAAGTGGAGGCTCAGCTTTCAGTTCTTTCTCAACCATAAACCAGAGCAATTTAGGCCAATCTAACTTTTCCAAATGCTTTTGCTTTATATCCCTAGTCCATTCAACAACCTCTACAGGCATAATCCACATATCATCTCTTTGCAGTAGAATCCAAGTTGAAAGAATCTCATCAATAAACCTTACTGATTCATCATTTTCCAGAAGTTCTCTCTCCTCCTCCGTAAGGTCAAGTTCTTTCTTCTTAGGCAACTTCAACGCTCGAGCCAAATCGGCACGGCTGACATTAATCCTTAGCCCATTTACATAGCTGCATCTACCCTCTGAATTATAATACGCGACAAGGGTCGCCACTAGATCTTGACGGATATTTTGATCAAACTCCAAATGCACAAAATCCCACAGACCTAACATCTTCAATAGCTTCTCGTGCCGAGCAAAATCTAGGGATTTACATGGCACGAAAGCAATCGGCTTCAAGGTTTTCAAAAGTACCTCAAGCTTCTCCTTTGACTTCTCTTGCTGTTTTCGTTTCTTCTGGTTCATTTTCTTCCGCTTCGGCCCACCTCCGCGGCGGTGAATAGGAGAGCTTACGGCTTGCGTTGCGTCCATATCGTCTTCTTCGTTCCTACTTTCCTCAATCGACGCCTCTAATTGCTGATCTCTGGCGTCTGACTCCTCCAGATCCTGCAAATTCTGCGTTTCTTCTTCATGTGTTGATTCTAGATTTAGGGCTTTGTCAACGACGGAATCCGCATTCTCCAGTGAAATGCTTCCTTGCTCTCCTACTAAACTCGGTTTCTCAATCAAACTAGGGTTCCCAGAAAGAGCTGCTTCTGCATCTGGATCTGTGGGATTCGACGGAGAAGAAGCCATGGCTGATTCTTTTCTCGGAAAAGCTAAACTTGAGTCAGTCGTCAATTCGACGGTCGCGAGAGGACATAAACTTCAAAGCATACTCAACTAAACCAACCAATCAAACAATAACACGTCATCAACCTGAGTCGCCGGGTCTCACTAACCTCATTTTCATGGGCCGGATAAGAGGCCCAATTCCAGTAAAACTCCAAATATACCCGAATCTTTGTCTCGCTGACGAGAAAAAGATCCAATAATGGTGTCTCTGACTCTTCGGATTCGTCACTGTTAGATCTCTCTTCCATTTTCCCCGATACCTTTAACGGTAACTTTCACAGTGCTTCACTCAGCGGTTACAAAAAAAAAAAAAAAACCCCCAAAACTTTCTTCCCAACACTCCTTTTGCTTCATCTTCTCTTCTCTTCTCTCTCTCTCTCTCTCTCTCTCTCTCTGAGGAAATGATTATGACTCTCTCACTTCTCGCTGCGACGGCGGCGATGTTAATGATGGTTGCGACTGCGCAGATCGGCGGTCAAGTGTTGCAAGTGGAGTTATGGTGCGTAGCGAAGAACAACGCAGAAGATGCTTCGCTACAGACTGCGATTGAGTGGGCTTGTGGTCAAGGCGGCGCCGATTGTGGTCCGATTCAGCAAGGTGGACCTTGTAACGACCCGACGGATGTTCAGAAAATGGCGTCGTTTGTTTTCAACAATTACTACCTGAAGAACGGCGAGGCCGATGAGGCTTGCAATTTCAACAATAACGCTGCTCTTACTTCACTCAATCCCAGTAAGTAAAAGCCTTCTTCTGTTATCGAAATCTTATATCTGTTAGCGTAGAGGAATCAGGATTATAACGATGATCTCTTGTTTTGAAGTTTAAGTTTTAGATTCAGATTCGAATACATTTTAGCGTCGCTGATGAAGTGATTTTTCCCCAATGTGTGTGTTTTCAGGTCAGGGAACTTGCAAATACCCTTCGAGGTAATCAATTTCAAACTATCTAGAGCAATCTATAAGATTGATGTGAAAGATGGTTTCGTGATTTGAATTATTTAATATCTTATATTGGTAAGAATGAAGCTTATTTCATGTCCATGGAGAGTGGATTTGGTTGTTAGATTGTTCAAAATACATGAATGGATGTCCAAAGTTTGGTTTTACTTCTGATATTCTCTGCGTTGATTGTTCACTGATGATTCACATCTCTATAAAATTATCTCAGTTTGCTCTGTATTCTTATGTCACTCAACAATACTCTCATGACGATGTGCAGTAAGAGAGGAGTGAACAATGGTCGAGTGGCAGATGACACTTCAATGGGAGCAGATATGAGCCGTGGTGGCAGACCGGTTTCCAGCAGTTGGATTGTAACCTTCATCGGTTTCTGCAGCTTATTGACGATGACACAGATAGTTCATCATCTTTAGGCTCACACACGCATGAGAAGGATACCATTTTGATCTCTCCCAGTTTACCTTTGAAGATAAGCCTAATATCTAATTTGTTTTTTTTTGTCTGGCATTTTGATTTTTTATTATCAATCCCACTGTGAGTGATTCAAAATGTTTTGATTGCTTCTATTGGAATTTGTAGTGATATTTCTTTTTTTTTCAACGAACATATAATGATGTAATGTCATCATATGTTAATAGATTCAATGATTGTCTACCGTTGTGAGTTTTCGATTTGGTCACCATCGTCATCCAATTGGTCTACATCGCTTTCGATATGGTCTTCATTGTTATCCAATTGGTCTACTTCGCTTTCGAATTGGCCATTATCTCTTTCGATTTGGTCATCAGCGACAGGGTCTCCTCCAGATGATAGGCTTTCGCAAAGCCATTTTGTACGTACAGGAGGAGGACTTAATGCGATTCCAGGCTGTGCTAAGAGTACTTTGTAGGAGGAGGAAGAGCAAGAGCAAGAACACTGTGTGAGTTCTTCATTGTTGAAGGCAACCTGATCCTCTTAAACGCTTGGAATCAAGGGCAAGCTTTGGTTTTTTAATCTAGTTTTCATATGATTTTGCTCTTGAGGTCAGAACTGCAGAAGACAAGTGATGTATAAAAAGGGTGTTCAAATCGCGAATGGGTATACATATCATTACACAATGATACAGAATCAGTCTATGAAAGAAAGTACAAGAAGAAGAATGATTATTCATGTTGAAGAAAGAACAAGTATGTGTGTGGCTTCTACTGCTATTTAATGGTTTAATTAAAAAGAAAACGTTGGCTTTTCTTTTGTTATTGTAATAAAGCAATTTGCCTCAATTATTTGCAAATATTCTAAACACTTGTAAATTTCAAATAAAAATTGTAGATATTAATAATTTCATTTTCAATATCATAAAAAAAATACTGTATGTATTTTCATTTTTATTAGTTATAACTTTTATTGTTAGTTATTATAGATTTGAAGTGCAAACAGTAAAGAAGATTAAAAAAAAATAAGGGCTGGAGTGGGTGGTAAAGCAAAAAAAGATTTGCATTGCTGAGTCGATCCCGAATAAAGCTAACCGCGTTGCCAAACAAAGTGTCTGGCTTTATCTCCTAAAACCTCCCGGCTCCCTTCGCCGCCGTACACTCGACGGGCTACGAACGACGGGAACCAAATCCTCCGCCGTCAATTTCTATCTCCGCCTGACTCTGGTGAGTCTCTTCTCGCCTTTAGTGCTTTCTATTTTGATGCGTCGTCTTGGTATAAACTGGAATCGCCTCGCCGACGCTGGGGAATTAGGGTTTGTACTACGAATCGAATATTAAATTGTTCGAGGAGGGGACACTTTCATCATCGTAGTATAAGATTTATGGATTCGTAATGCATGTCAAGTGATCGATTCGTTCGGTTTCATGTTTGTATCTGATTCTCGTGTATCAGTTATATGAATGATTTGCCTTAATGTTGGTTCTGTTCACCATGTCCATCGGTTCTGAATTTCTATAGGAACGATGAAAGATGCACATTGATTTAACAGATTAACTCTTGAATCTTGACTTCTGCTGGTTAACTCTATAAGCTTTCTTGCAGAAGATAGTTAGAAAAAAAATGGAGAATACTGGGAGCATTAAGCAAGAAGCACTGTCTCTTCTTCCAGGGATCTTTGAGATACCGGGAGAGCCTGCGGTTGTTATCAACGGTGTGCCTGATGAACCTCAAACAGATTGTATGGTTGCCAAAGACGAACCAGTAACAGCAAGTGGCACTGTAGGAAGCGGCGAATGGCTCGTGGGTAGAGAAGTCCGGAAGTTTTTCTTGGGTCATTACTATTCTGGTGTGGTGACAAAGTTCGACAAACAATCTGGGTGGTACAGAGTTGAATACGAAGATGGGGATTCTGAAGATCTTGACTGGTCTGAGCTAGAAGAAGTACTTCTACCTTTGGATGTTACTGTCCCTTTGAGGTCAGTCTCACTGCAGATCATCAAGAATCGACAAATGCAGGCTCAAACTTATGGATACACGCCACAACGCTAGACCAAGAACTCCAAACACACAACGAGTGGATATGGTGAAGCAGGACAAAGAGGTTGTTACACTCTCATGCCTTAATATTGGAAACAGTTTATCGCTTGAATATAATAGAAGACTAGTGGGAATCATGAAATTGTAGATACGTTAGAGATAAGCAACGTTTTTTGGTACGAATAACGTTTCGTTATAAATAATCATATTTTCAAAATGAGATTAACATATACGTGTCCCCAACTTTTCCTATTTCATATACAACACACAGACTCTGTCTTGACTCTTTTGACAAGAAAAAACATTATCTTTAACTTGATTATCTTAAACCTTAAAAAGAATCATTCCAATATCGATGTAGATCTTGCTTGTTAGCACGACTCCTAAGTCCTCGCTTTGTTTCGTCAACCAAATCAATTATTTATACATTCGTGCTTTTTGCAAATTATAGCTCTGTTTTGTGTATAAATGATGCAAGCACTTCAACGATAACGCAATCACATCTTCACATCTTCACACCTTCACATAGCCTGAAAGATCATTTGAGTTTGTAGCGAGCAACTGACCATCTTAGCCATGGCTAGCCTTCATCTTCTTCTTCTTTCTCTGTTCTCAGCTCTTCTCCTTGCCGCCACCATTACAGAATCCGAAGCATACTCAACAACAGTGAAGGCACCATATCCAGGACATAAACCAGAGAAACTAACCCACCTTCACTTCTACTTCCACGACATTGTCTCCGGAAACAAACCAACGGCTGTGGTAGTCGCTAGAGGTCCTACAACAAACTCCTCTGCAACCAACTTTGGTTGCAATCGCAGACGATCCATTGACGATGGGGCCTTTAATAACCTCTGAGGAAATTGGGAGAGCCCAAGGGATGTATGCATCGGCTGACCAGAACAAGTTTGGTCTGCTAATGGCTTTTAACTTTGTTATCACAAAGGGTGAATTTGCAGGGAGCACCATCTCTATGTATGGCCGCAACCCAATATTGTCGAAGGTGAGAGAGATGCCAATCATCGGAGGTACGGGAGCTTTTAGGTTCGGAAGAGGATATGCACAGGCTAAGACTTTTGTGTTCAATACTATCAGTGGAGATGCTGTGGTCGAGTATAATGTCTATATTTGGCATTAGCCTATTGGCATTTTTATGTGCTTTTCACCACCTTTTTTTTGTTTTTTTTTGTTGAAAATCAAATGAAATAACAACCGTTGGAATAAATGATTTTTTGTTGTTGTTGCGTTGAATTTGATATTGTGACGATCGCGTAATTTATATATTGTCAGAAATTGTTGTAAAAATAAAGTTGTATTCTTATGTGATGAATTCTTCGGAGGATAATGTTAGCTTTTCTCAAAATGGTCGGCCAATAATATTATATTGGTCACATTTTTAAATGTTCTTTAAAACATTACTAATACGTGTTACAACAAGTATCGTTGCTAACACACTCTATATATTACTGCTGTGAGCAAAAAAGGGGTACTTCTACCTTATGGATGTCACTGTCTCTCTGAGGTCAATCTCTTTGAAGATCATCGAGAAACGACAAACACAGGCCCCAAACTTATGGGCGCACGCACACCAAAACGCTAAGACAGAGTGAAAAGTGTTACGCCTGAAAATTGAAAACACTTGAATAGTCTCTTTTGAAAATCTCATCACTTGAAATATATTACACGACTAGTAAAACATTGTAGTAGTTTGTACCGGAACCATATATATATGGAAGAGGTGTTTGTATATATGGAAGAGTTGTTTGTACAACACGATAACCACGAAATGCTAAAATTATTGGTAGATGAACTAACATTTTTATTTATAAACTTTATATATTCAAGATGCAAGAATCGTGTCTTTGACTTTCCCTACTTTAAAAATGAATTCATACAGACATATCGCTATCTTTTTTATTTGGTAAAGTTAACAACATTCTTTTCCAATTGTTTCCTTATGATTTTTTTATTTTATTTTATATATTCATATGATCGATCAATATATAATGGAGATTTGTTTAAAACGAAGACTTTGTCCACATCAATGGAGATTTGTTTGTTAGCACGTCGCCTCGCTAGCTGTAGTATACCAAGCAAATATATCCTCTAAACATTTGTGTGTTTTAATAATCAGTAAACCTGTTTTTGTGTATAAATTAATACGATCACTTCCACAAGAAACACAATCACATTTCTCACACACACGTACGTCCTGAAAGATAAATTGACTCTCTCTCAAACAACGACCATCATCCCCATGGGTAGCCTTGTTCTTTCTCTGTTATCAGCTCTTCTCCTCGCTGCCACCATTACGGAATCCGAAGCTTTCTCAAAAACAGTGAAGAAACCATATCCAGGACAAAAACTAGAGAAGCTAACCCACTTCCACTTCTACTTGCACGACATTGTTACCGCAGACAAACCAACCTCCGTCGTAGTCGCTACAGGCCCCGCCTCAAACTCCTCGGCGACCGCTTTTGGTATGGTTGCAGTTGTTGACGACATATTGACGGTGGGACATGAAATAACCTCAGCGGAAGTCGGGAGAGCCCAAGGAGTGTTTGCATCGACCGACCAGAAAAATTTTAGTCTCCTTATGACTTTGAACTTAGTTTTCACGACGGGTGAATTCTCCGGCAGCACCATCTCATTGTATGGAAGGAATCCGATCATGTCGAAGGTGAGAGAGATGCCGATCGTCGGAGGTACGGGAGCTTTCAGGTTCGGAGGAGGATATGCACAAGCCAAGACTTTTACGTTCAATCTTACGAGTGGAAATGCTGTGATCGAGTATAATGTCTATATTTGGCATTAAATTATTTCGACTTCTTTGGTGCTTTTCCATTTTTACATTGAGAAATAAAAAGTTGGTGGAACTGGAAATAAATGTTTTTTTTAATTGATATTGTGATGTTTGTGTTATTTTCTTATAAGATGTTAGGGTACCAAGAAAAAAAAAGATTGGATGAAAAATGTAACACACTGATTATATTTGATATCGTCGAAAAACCGTATACAAATATATCATATACTTGTGTGCAACAACGTAAATCAGATACACACACTTATTAAAAAAAAAAAAAAAAAAGTTTATAGACTTGTTGTAGGCAGGCGAAGCAAACACGCGGCACCCGCATTGTGGGGAAAATCACTCATTTAATTTGTTTTACAAAATTAATTATTTAATAACCCACGTGTATCATGTGGATGACCATTTCATTTTATTGGGTCTAAGCCCAATATTATTCTTATATAGGCAAAGCCTATTTACCAAATCCAAGGAAAGCGCTGCGTCATGGCTGATAGGGAGCGTTTTTGAAACCCCAACTCGGGGGTTTATTTCACTTTTTTTTTTTTTTTACGTATCATATGAAAACTGGTTTTGCTATTAATTTTCGATAATGTATACTGATGATATTTCAAAACGGTTGGTAGTCATTACATTTAGAATGTCATTTTAGAATTTTAATTATTCTTGTTTCACAATAAGTTTCTTTCTACATTTTCAATGTAACATTTATACTAAATTTCCAAATTTTACCCTCAACCAAGAACTAATTAAACCATTATCCACTAGTTAAATAAAAATATATATGTATAATTTAATTAATGTTTTCTTTATTATATATTCTACATGGTCGATAATCAATTCAATTTAAAAGCGTTTTTTAACTGTGGTTAACCGTAATCTATTTCTAGCATTGTCATTCATATTATAAATGATTTTTCTTTTAGAACAAAATATCAAAAACTAACAAGAGAGGAAAGGATATATATGAAGAAACATGGAATGAGGAAAATAAAATTGACAAGAGGTTGGGAAACATGTATGACATCATAATATCAATAAGAGAAAGCTCCTTTCCCACATACGACGTGATACATGCGCATATGTAACATCGTTAATGCAATATCTAAAAAGATGCTCCCTCCATTTATAGTATACTTATATGAATCCGTGGTCCATATATATATATATATATACTATCTAGCTTTAAGATAAGAAATGTTATCTTCAACCCACTAAAAAATGATAGAAGAATAATTGGTTTGTTCAACTTCAAGTGAACGTTAATATATTCTATAAAGAAAGTTGGATCTATGTATACCACTACAGTGGATCTCACCTGAAACGCCACATACGGAGAAGTTTGGTAAAAAAAAAAAAAAAAAAAAATTGTTGGTTTTATCAATAAAAGTATATACGTTATATATATTAGGGTCTGAGTCTAGTTTGCCAAACTCGTCTATCCGTAATATTCTTAAATTGACATTGATTGTATATAAGTACTGCACCATACTATAGAGAGAGAGGTAGTATCTAGTGTGTGTGTTTAACTCGGAAAGACATTGGTGGGCTCATGTTCTTTAACTGCACTTGCATTTGTTGTCTTTATAAATATCTTCTGTGTTTTTAATCTGCTGCAAATTATTTAGCCTTGTAAAGGTTTACATGCTAGTATTATAAAGTAGGCTATATCATAGCTTGTGAGGTTATAGAAGGGAGAAGCTATGTTTGCTCATCAATTTTTTTAATTCAAACCTAAAATCTTCTTCAAACTAACTTTCATTTACTTACAAATACAGAAACTGCATGTTACTTAGTAATGAGTTAATGTATTGCAATTATTAGCTAACCTAGTCCGGTCCATTCATGACTCATGAGATAAAAAATTCTTCAATTTTTTTTTTTTTATCAAAAAAACATAAAGAGAGGTGGTCCTGTTTGATGAGTTGATCTAAGAAAAGGAAGAGATGAAGCAGCTAGAAAGTGAAAGGTACCTTGGCCCCTTCCCCTAAAGCCATTTAATCTTATGAAGCATAGCATACGACTATGACTTTAATGGCAGCAAAGGTTTTTTGCTTGTTAGGGTTTCTTAGTCTTTGTGGGCTTTTAATGAGGCCCTTGTGGGGTTCAACTCCCTCCCATTCACGGGGTCTACCTTTCCTGTGATTTGATTTGGTTCGGTTCCTATATGTTCCTTTTTCCTGTCGGTTTGTCAAAAAAAAAAAAAAAAAAAAAAAAAAAATACATGTTATTTTCCATCCAACACCATACAAACGAAGAGAGAGAAAAAAAAAGAGAGACTTTATTATGTTTATAACTGTTCAGTTTTATTATATATTATGTTTTATAATATGCCAAAACTTTATTAAACTAAACAAACTTTTAGATGACCCCCCAACCCAACAAATTCTTTGATTTTGCTTTTGGAGAGATATCAGTTTGATTAATAATTGATGTTCGTCGAAGTATATATAAAACTGATTAGACCTTAAAAAAAGCTCTCTAGATCACTGAAAAATTATTCAATATATATCTCTTCACCAACACGTGCCATCTTATAGCTCGACTACTTCACATTGTATTTATTTACGGTTCTCTGCATGCGCGCAGCTACTAATAAGATGGATGCACAATCTATGTTGGTTCTTTTGGATTTTATTAAGCATATATACATACATAATATATTTTGATGTGCTTTCTCTATAGACTTCCTATACATATCTTCTATGTTTGTGCTTTCATAATTTATGTAACTCAATAATTATGTAGACAACCGTAGACATAATTTTTTTTATAGTTAAGTTGAATATTTTTCAACCAAAACTTAAATTTGTTTTTATGGTTGATTTTAAGTTTTATAAAAGTCGAAGTTGCTTTATTTTCTTTATGTTTCCCCAATCATAAAAAGGTTAGTAAATTCATGGAAACTTATACCAACCCAAAGAAGTGTACATTTAAATTTTGTATAGAAATATCATGAATATTATATACTGTTAAAATCATGAAAATATATGATGATGGATTTAATGTATTACGATGATTACAACAAAAGAGCTTTCAGTATATATTTGTTGTCAACAATATTTTTCAATTTTATTTATGACATGAACAAGCAAACAGAAGGATATGGTCCACACAGTCCTCTTCTTATTCTGCATGATGTCTCTAATATCGAGGCACTACTAAACACCATTCGAAGTAAAAGAATATATATGGTCCTTGAGAGATGATATATCTATATATATATAAGATAAGCCGCGTCGACCTTTAAGTAGTAACATCGATCCGGTGTAACATATAAGCACATATGTGATCAAAGAGTACACACCCTAGCTAGCTTCACGTACGCTCGTTCGTATTTGCCGAATTTATTCACCTAGCTAGCTTTTTTTTTAATGCTTTTTAATTTACTTTTTATACCATAAATTTACCATGACCCCATTTCTGCTCCATCTATAATGTTGTATCGATCTGTTTCTCTCAATACGAATTTCGATGCTTATTGAGTTATTGTTAGTTTAAGCAACCATATATATGTTCGTTCAATCCGGAAAAGCTGATATTGGAACTGCATATAAAAACTGTTATATATATAGAGTTGTACTTTAATTGGGTTCATATATCTAGCTGTCGTTTTAGATCCTTTAAAAACTCGAAGGTTAAACCGGCCGGAGCTCAATGCATAAATAAAATTTCATCATCAGACACTTATTAAAAATCAGTATCTCGAAAATAAGACTATACCAAACTATATATTATTATGTCCTCGCTTGATTCGGTTTAAAAGCCAGTACGTAGCTTTTCTTTTAAAATCGAAAAATTGAAAACCTAGCGCTAAATGAAAGTTGGAATTGAATATTCGTAGTGTAAATTAAAGTCCAACATTTGGAGAAGCACTTGTGAGAATTTAATAAGAAACAAAAGTAGATATCACCAGCACATACGGAACAAAATGGTTCTAAAGAATAGTTGTTTGTTGGGGGAAATGAATGTATAAATACAAAAGCTAATTTATTGTATTAAGGGCATATTTCCTAGGTAACCAAGATTGGAAAGAAAAAGAAAGAAAAAAATGACACAGTGGCATTTTCGCAAATTGATTACGTATTTGTCATATATTTATGTTAAATATGATATTCATTGCGGTAAATAAAATATATATATATATATAGTACAAAGTGAACCACCACATTTACAACGATACAGACCAAAAAGGAAATCAAAATAAGCGAAAATACGATATATTTACCGCTATACTACTTAAAAAAAAAAAACAAAAAAAGTGCATTACTACATTTGTTTTTGGGGAACAAACTATAAACTTCAAAGTTCAAACAGTAACTACTATTTTGAAAAGTAAATTATGGAATGCATATAGTTTTTTTTAAGGTGAGGCTTTAAAGTGATGAACATAACTTTTTTTTTTAAGTAAGTGATTATGGATCAGCGTGCCCTAATAGTTCTTAATTCCAACCTTTTTACGGCAAAGAATATTAATTAGTAAGTGATTCTGGATCATCATGCCCTAATAATATATACTTCTTCCAGCCTTAATCAACCAAATTAAGTTGATAATCTTCATCGGACGACAATCTAATCTAACTCAACTTATTGGACATGATCATGATCAGTCTTCAGATAACACGCATGGATGGATAAGCTATCGACCTTTCTTTGGCTCTGATATTTAGAAGTTTAGAAGTTATCATCAACCTTCTGACAAACAGCAAATATAGAAATTATAATGAATTGCCATAAAAAATGGGAACCAACCAGTTTTATATATATAAACGTCGTCTATCTCTCTGAAGAAGTCAGCCTAATCACTCATTATTCCTCTCTCCCTCTTTCTTTCTCTCTCCTCTTGCTCGCTCTCTCTCTCTCTCTCTTTCTCTCTCTCTCTCTTTTTTTCTCTATGGACGAGGCTACTGGAGAAACAGAAACTCAAGATTTCATGAACGTCGAATCCTTCTCTCAGCTTCCTTTCATCCGCCGCCCTAAAGATAAGAACCCTAAACCCATTCGTGTCTTCGGCAAAGATTTCACCGATGGAGATCTCTCCGGCACCACCCGTCAAGAATACTACCCCGATCCCTCCCAGAACAAAAACAAAGAAGAAGAAGACCAAACCGGAGATAACGACAAGGACAATACTAGCATCAGCAACAACAGGAGATACGAGTGTCACTATTGCTTTAGAAACTTCCCTACTTCACAAGCCCTAGGTGGACACCAAAACGCTCACAAACGCGAACGCCAGCTTGCCAAACGCGGTGTTTCCTCATACTTTCATCATCCTGACACTAGCCTTTACACTAGTTACCGTCACTACCCGTCCTGGAGTAGCAGCCCATTTACCGCGGCTAGATCCTATGGAAGACACTTTTCTAGCCTCCAGTCTTCGGCGTATTACACACGACGACCGAGCTACGGGAGCCCGTTAGGACTGTGGCGTCGACCACGGACTTCTCCCTCTGGCCTTCAAAGCATTTATAGCTCAAACGCAACGTTTACTGGCAGTAACTTTTCGTCTAACTCAACTTTATCGTTGTTGGCCGGCTCTCAGCCCCAACCACCGTTACAGCTGGGTGGCCCTAGATCTCATCAGATCCGAACTTCGTCTTACCGCTACGGCTTGAGTCCTAATGTTCAAGATCATGTGAGTCTCGATCTTCATCTTTAACGATTCCCAAAACAACAAATTAAAAATTTTCAATCAAACTTGTTATAACCTATTCCTTACCCTCCTTTGATTGAGTGTTAAGTAACTTCGTGAAAAAGCAAAATGATGCGGTGTTGATGTTTCTGAATGAGAAACGGCACGATGTGTGAGAGATATTCACGTAATTTATTTCGTTTAATGTTATATTTTTTTCACCACACGTGCTTCAATGAAGGAAAGGAATTTATCATTTTACGTGTCCATCATATTTATCATGGCTTTCGAGTCTTAGCTTCGAACACTATTGTTTCAGGAAATTGTCAGTCGGAGTAATAATATTGTACGTTAGTTACTACTGAGTATTTAATTTAAACCACACAGTGACTCAGATAGAATTATTAAGATTTTTCTCAGATAGAATCTTTACTGTGCGTAACAAATACGAAAAAAAAATAAAAATTAAACGTCTTTGAGTATAAAATTTTCTAGTAGGTTTTTAAACAAATCTAATGCACACTGGACACATTAATTACCATGTCCGGGAATCAAGTAAAACTCAAAATGGGTAATTATAAGCTGATCAGATGATGGTGATGATGATAATTTGGTGCGTGTGGATAAGTGAAGACAATGGACACGCCAAAAGGGTAGAGAGAGAGAGACAAAGTGAGTGAAATGGTCCATAAATACACAAATGTAGAGTTTGCGATAGAACTTTCTCGTCTGTCCTTAATGTTACTGTTCTCTCTCAACTTGCAATTTCTTGTAAAAAAACATAAAGACGAAGCTATAGCAAAGCAAAATTCCTCAAGCTTTCTACTTTTGTGTTTATTTCTTGTCATTCCCTTTAAGGCAATCCAAAGGAATTAATCAACAACCTATATATATATCACAATCAATGAACCTAGAAAAAGTTGTGATTGGAATACGGTAGACTCCACATGATAATATGACAACGTAGTTTTGTTATGTTAATTGTAAACTATCAAATCACAACATCTATATATAGATATGACAACGTCGTAGCTAGAATTTTGTTTAGGCCATTGATCCAGAAGAGCTTACGAGTTTCCATATTTGGCAAGCCTTTAGTATAAATATCATTAGCATTGATTGATTCACACCCTACACCAGTAAAATGATGTGTGCTACTATTAGGATATTTGGTATTAGCTCAATCCGGTTATTGACATTTGATTAATCGGTTTAATGTGGCTTGATATTGTAAGGTTGATTAGCATATATAAGCTGATTAATCACAAATATAATGTGAACGTGAAGCGTTTGTAATAGACTTTTTACACAATTAATAAAAGGTGTTTTTCTCTCCTTTTCTCCGATCTAGTATCTTCGATGTCGAGCTTTAATAGCTACAACTCGTGATGGTTACATACAATATATATAAGACTTTTTTTTTGAGAAGTAAGCTAATCTGATCCAATCAAGTCTCCTAGGAAAGGAATTGGAAAAGGCTATGCCAAAACGACATCTTTGGACAGTACTCTATTACAAAACGGCCGTCGAAGCAACATCCCAAAGACTCTTCCTTGAAAATTTTGTTGGCTTGTAATTTTTCTCTAACCAATACTATATGTCTTTAATTTAACATTGTAGCATGATGCTAATTAAGATGCAACTAACATATCACTACAAATTCAATATCAGTGACACTAACCTAAAGCTATATATAAGTTCGAGAGGCTGCAGAAAGTGACATTGCGATTTTCCTGACGTCAAGAATTAGTCACGGAACAGTTTCCACCAGTTGAACAGGGGAAGGGACCGGATGGTGCACCTTCAGCCTGTAGATTCAAAAGTGAAGTGATAAGTTTTATCAGATCCATTTTAGGGACACGTTTCAACACTACAACTTTTGCAGTAAGATTAGTAAAAATACAAAAGTAGAAAGAATGAAAAGACGTATCGCCCTCCCAAGACAGTTCCTCAGCTACAAATATAGTTCTAGTTAAGAATTACATCTATGTGATAATAGGAAGTTTAAGGAAATATTGTCAAAAGAGTTTAACATCAGTAGCAGCAAAAAGGGGACCTACTAGTTACTGCAAGTAAGAGGGAAGCATGTGATAAGAGTACAAGGTGGTAAAAAAAAGTTGTATGAATTCACTCAGAGTACCACTTTTTGTGCTCAGTTGTTTTCTTAAGATGTGCAAAGAACTTGGTAGAATCTGAAGAACAGTGGCACATACCCCTATGGAAAAAAAAGTTGCTAAACTGAGGATGATAGTTCGAACAGTACACATCTCAGAGCACTAGCTGACGGTTTTGGTAGTAAAGTTAAAGGCTAAAGCAAAGAAACATGTGGTTGTATAATTGAGATGACTGTTTCCTTCTGATTTCTAAGTTACAACATCTCATGAATGCTTTTTATGCTCAACTTTTGGTGATGCAACATCATTCGTAAAAAAACTATTATCAGAACTGTATAACACATTATCAACCGTAGTAACCATAACTGAATATGTAGGTAAAGGTATCTACCGGAGCTCATGACTGAATTTAACTTAGCCCATACAGTAGTGTATCAAACAGTTGCAGCATTAAGAGATTTGAATAGGGTAAAGACACAGTGTTATAGAGACAATGGATTTATGATATATACATATAGAAAAGAAAAAAAAGAGATCTGAAGAGATTAAAAACTTTGCAAGCTGGATATAATTAAACATCCACAATTATGGTGCATATATATATATATATATAGCATAATGCAGCTGGTAGATATATTTTAGTTTACTTTGCAACCTCATCATGAATTTTTTTTTTTTCATCATAATGAATTTACTTTAGCTAATCTATATGAAATTTATAAGAAGCGAGTGTATATATATAAACTCCATGATATGACTAGCCTGCAGAGCAGTCCATTATTGTGAAGCCCTTGAAAGAGGCACTGATTTGAGGTGATTGTTAGTTGGGAAAGCTTTGAAAAATTGTCTAGCCTACTAAATTCCAGAGTCAGAGAAAAAGTTATTGTAAGGATTCAGGTGATTTCTAGCTAAAAAAAAATGACGTCTACAGAAAATGAAAACACTAACATATGTTAGCTTAGCAGCTAATACCAACAAGCAAGCAACCACCATTTATCAAAAGGAATTTATAATCGCAATATGTCTAAACAGAGACAAAATTAATGAATCAGGTGGGAAATGTGCAATGATATTAATTATTATGTGAGTAAATTAGCTAATCACTTCCATGTACAAAAGGGTAATAGGTGTAGCTCTACAGTATATGGCAGACTATAATTTTGCATTAACAGTAAAATTGTGAAAAATGAACATGCATGGTTCTTCATCAATATTATTAGTTAAAGTGAAGATGAGCAACAAAATTCAAATTCAACCGTCTAGTAAGTCTGAATATATATGACAAAAAAATAAAATAAATATTATTAGCTTGGAAACGTTTTTAAGCATGATTGATCGTATCCATCATCAATGTTTCTTACACAAGAAAACGTGGCTGAGGCTGAGCATATCATCAGCAAAGTTAACTTCAGCATGTTCTATCGAATACTTCATAGAAACAGAGAATTCGATGCAAAGACAGAATAATTTGAGATGATCTTCCTGTCTTCTTTACCTTCTTGGCTTCGATGGCTCACACCTTGTCTATAACGATCGATGTCGGATCTTATGAAAAAAGATAAGATGCTTTTGGAACAAGAATCTCAAGTTTGGCAAGTTGACCCTCGAATGAAAAGCAATCAAATGAGATAAATCTCACATCCATCTGAATGAAAACACATGAAGCCAGAGAAAGGAGCTTTAGGCGTCAAATCTCAATACAAAAGACAATTCACAATTACATTAGTTTTCTATATATCCCTTATCACTATCACGATGTATTGGTGATTTATATCACGGTGGTTTAATAACTATGCCCTGTGTGACTCTGTGAGAATAGAATCCAAAAGTTTCTTGGATTGCTGATGGGGAAGGCTCTATAGTAGCTTAGCTTGTTTAATTACTGATAACAGTGAGCACTCAGAGTTCAGGGGGATGACTCAAATAAGAAATCCTCATAAAAAGAAAACAAGAGATCGATAGATTTAATTGCACAGCAATAATGTGATGATAGCCTTGCATGCATGCTTGCACAAGAAACAAATTTGACCTAGAGGATTTTTTATTCGATATTTTAACCGGCCGGTTCTATCAAGAAGGCTCGTTCCGTGAATTTCGAACCCGGACCGAATAAACAATTTGGCCGGTTGAATTGACCGTTCCGCGTTCACCATCCCTTGCCAAAAATTTGAATGATCTGCGAAACCGGCTTGATAATAAATAACCCATATAGGCCAATAAAGCCCAATTATTATGTTATGTTATTTGGGCCTATGGCCTACTTAACAATCTGATTTTATCCGATTCAAGGTAATACCTGTTCACGATGATTTGGAAGCTATATACTATCCTAAGTGAAGTACATATATATCTTTTTCAAGATCATGTACATTTTAATTCCAGGATCATGGATTCATGGTGGACGACATATTAACTTTTCTGGTGATAAAATTTATATGCTCGATATTAATAAATAGCCTGTTGAACAAATGGAAAAAAAAGATGTATATTCACGTAAAGCCAATAAGCTATCTTTTATGATAGAAAGGTAATGGCTACGTACTGGCTACTGCATCGATGATGATGAGTGCATCAATAGCATCAAGTTGGATGGATTCGAATCGAACCAAGTATTTTCTATAACTTTGTCTTATGCTATTTATTACAAAATAACGTTTTCTCTATCCTTTTTTTGTCTCTTCTCTACTGAAATTTGTCGAGATTTTACAGAACTCCTTATACGATGCATTCACACCCATACTTTTAATTTACTGTATGAGTTTAAATCTATGTATATCCCACAGTTGAACAACTAATTATTTGAGTTTTTTTTTTTTTTGGTGAGGAATAATTTGAGTTTTTATGAAAGTAGGGTTTTGGTACTTAAGTATAACTTCTATTTTCTAATATGTGAAAACATCATTTCCTATATTTTCATTTACAACACCTTAGATAAAAAAAAAAAAAAAATTTTGAAAATACTCAAGCGATCATTAGTTATAGTTTTTGAAATACTTTTTTTTTTTTTTTTGTGATTGACATTCGTCGTCCCAACCAAGTCATATTTATCGAGATTAACAGTTCTCTAGTCACTAAAATTTAACATTTATCAAAATTAAATCATTTTTTTTTTTTTTTCACGATTAGAATTGTGCGGATTTTAGATTGACAGCAAATTGTATTTAGAATATATCTTTCTAAAAAATCAAATATAAATTCAGTGGCACACATTACAATGTTTCAAAAATATTATCTAGAGAAGATTTTTGGCGGACTAGACATTGTAATTCGGAAATTCAATGAAATTTGAACGCATTGTAGTATGGACTATGGGGTGCAGACAAACATTCACCGATTTCCTTAGCCATATGTTACTTCAATGGAATCGCCTCAAATCCACTGATATTCTTAGCAAAGGAGGAAAAGCAAAATTCCATTGTTAGTTTGGTGGTTCTTTCAATATTGACCATGCATGGCTCACATGTTAGTTCTTCATAATGGTAGACCGATTTACAATTATTTATTCGAAGACTATACTTATATTTGTTTGACGAACGTACAAAAACAGAAGATTGGACTTTTGGGCAGAGTTGATATTTAAGTATTTGTCTATATATAATAGGGCTTCGTCAATTTATTTATGTGGCTCATATATTTCTATAAAGTATATATATATCATCCGTACATATTATCGATCAAGAATGATGAATCACCCTCGCATCATTATGAATTTATGAGTCATGAGTCATGACTCAAGCATGATAATAAATTAAATCATGTTTTAGATCTTTGAGATAAAGAATTCAAAGTTATGTAACTGCATTTACCTAAATGGTGGTGACAAATCGAATTATAAGTAATCAAGAAATTATCTTCTGTAACGCATACAAGACTAAATTTTGTATTCTCTAAGTGAAGTACATGAATACATCTTTCAGGTATTGCAATCATGTATACATAAGCTGTTTTAGTGTTGTATAATGGAAGATATAATATAAATAATGATGGTAGCCAATATGTCCTTTTAGAAACACGTACGCATTGATATATATACTATATGACCTTGAAAATAAAACTGAATAAAGTTTTAGCCTGCATGATTCTATTGTAGTTTCAATGAAAGACAAAAAAAAGACAAAAAATCATGATACAAAATCATTAAGCTTCCGGGAATGTTCCTAAAAGTCTTCTGATGGGATATAATTTAATTTTGATCCCATAGTTATAAAAATGTCCGTAATTAATTAATAATCACATTCACATCCCCTGAGAGAAAGAGATATTATGTATTCTGACCACTCTCTCCCTCTACTGCCTCCGACCCTGACTATGAATATAAAGAAACCAACCAATAGGTTACAGAGTGTTTAACTGCATGTAGAGACACCTCTACCAATAAGTCATAGATCATTTGTAACTTTAAATTGGGGAAACTAACATTTTTAAGAAATTATGAATGTAAATTTTTTTTTTTTGATAAAAAATAAAGAAAATATGAAAATAGATAAATGTGATATATAGCTAGAGTGTGTAGCTGTAAATTTGGAAAATAATCTATAAATTCAATTTATATAATTTTTCTCTATATAAATAAATAAATCTACCAATAATTCATAGACTATATTAATAGTAAATTTGGATTTAATGAATTTTATTTAATATATTGAAATTTAATAAACTCCAGAAAAGTAAACTTCTTCATATATATATATCTTACCCATATATGTGTTTGGGGGTTTTCTGTTTTCTCCTTTCATTGTTGATTTTCCAAGGAATCACAGCCCACAGTTCTATGACTTAAATTTCCGACTCCTTTTGGATAGAAGAATTTTCAAATCAAAGAAGTTTTTGGAAGTTCACATCAGGTAATTTATCAATATTGTGGAACGTTTATATTAGCTATCTATGTCAATGTATAAATCACCAGTCAAACATGATTAAAGATATATCTTTTGATTTATGTTATGTAGTGAATAGTTTTGTAAATGTGGGTAAATTTAATTTGTTTATATGTGATATCCTGCAAAAATATTTTTTCAATAATAGATAATTATAAATCCCAATGTGTTAATCAGACAATAATACTTAGTTTGAATAATATATCTAAAAGATGTTGACTTAATATTTTATATAATTTTCTTTGGGCTCTTCTATTTTCAACGCTCATTAATTTGTCACTATAAAAAAAAAAAAATTTGGATTGCTCTTACCAAATGTTAACTCCTGGTCAAGTAAAAAAGGTTTCGAATATTTGATAATTTTTAGTGAGATTAATTTCAGTTAATTTGTATATAAAGTTTATTATGTTATTGTCGAAAAAGTACTCAAGTGAGCGAGCAGTATCCAAATTAAAACTAGGGTTCCGAGAGTCAAGATTTGTGCTTCGAAATAACAAGTTTGTAAATTACACGTGTCGTTTAACAAATAAGAAATTGATGACAATGTCGTCGTCATGTATATGTCCGTCCAAAAGAAAAAATCGTCACGGAACAAGAGAAGCTCCTGATTAAGGCATGGATCAGACAAGCCTTGTTGATGCTTGTGCATGTGGGCAAGTACCACGGCTGTCTCTATCATCATCCTCACCATGACACCATTTTCTTATACCATACATACAATAAATCTATTAGTATTAGTTAACTAACCCCAAAAATTCATTGAACACACATATATATTATCTATAAAAACCAACATCTCTGTACAATCCTTTATCTTTTCTTTTTTTTTTTCCTTTGTTCATCATCTGAAAGCATAAAAGTTCCTCTAGCTAGATATCATCTGGTATAATTTTATTTTCCATTAAATAGTTTATTTATTAATTATCAATGCTTTTATATGCTATATGATTTGTTTTATAACATTTTCTAGAAATGGAAGTCATCATCAATAGTCCGGAAACACCGTTGCTTTCGTCAAACGATCATGAGGCTGTTGATCACAAACCCAAGTTAACCGGTATGGTTTCTTCGATGAAATCGAATTTCTTCACTGATTTGCCTCAAAAACTTCGATCCAAGATCGATCCGGAGAACCCTTTTCATCTTGATGTCTCCAAAGCCGCAGGCCTCAAAGGAGGTATGTCTTTAATTTGTCTTACTTTATAAGTTAGATATATAATAATAATTAATTTGTCACAATTACCACTATCTACTTAATTATGTTGTTGAAATAAATATCACATTTCTTAAGATGAAAAGGAGTACTACCAAAGACAATTGGCAACATTGAAATCCTTTGAGGAAGTAGAAAGTTTCATAGCTCGATCTGATGATTACATCATCGATGAAAAAGAAGAAGAAGAAGATCGAGCTGAGAGAGCTGCACAAGAGCTTGCCATGCAAATCTCCAACTGGGCTAACATCTTCTTACTTGCTCTAAAGGTGTGACTTTATCTAATACTGAATCATTTCTAACATTGTTTTTTTTTTGTTTTTTTCTTCTTATTGTTTCTTTTTTTTTTTCTTTTTTTTTTTTTTTTTATCAAATGTCTTCAATGTGTAAGATATATGCTACGGTAAAGAGTGGATCCATAGCGATTGCAGCATCGACACTCGACTCATTGCTTGACCTTATGGCCGGAGGAATACTTTGGTTCACACATTTGTCAATGAAGAACGTCAATATCTACAAATATCCCATTGGAAAGCTTAGGGTGCAACCCGTTGGAATCATCATTTTCGCCGCTGTTATGGCCACTCTTGGTATATATATATCCTTTTCCCAAATTTTTATGAAACTCAGAAGTCAGAACTATATATTATAACTGCTTAGTCTGCTTTGATGAAAATGTAATGCTAAATTAACCATACATAATGTGTAGGGTTCCAAGTGCTGCTTGTGGCAGCTGAGCAATTGATTTCAAATGAACCTTCAGATAAAATGAATCATGACCAACTGGTTTGGTTATATTCAATCATGCTGAGTGCAACCGCTATTAAACTCGTCTTATGGATCTACTGCAAAAGCTCTAGAAATCATATTGTTCGTGCATACGCAAAGGTAGACATTTGTGCTTATACTCTTAATTACAGTTTCATGTAAAATGAGGACTAATTAAGTGATGAATTGTGTGGTATATATAGGATCATCACTTTGATGTGGTGACAAATGTTCTTGGATTGGTCGCCGCCGTTCTGGCTAATGCCTTTTATTGGTGGCTAGATCCGTCTGGTGCTATTCTCTTAGCCATCTACACTATTGTCAACTGGTCCGGGACCGTTATGGAAAATGCAGGTGAGTTTGTCTTTAGAAATTGTCGTATATATTGTTCGATTTAGTCACAATTATTGAGATTTTGACTATGTTTTTTGTTTTGTTTAATATAGTTTCACTGATCGGACAATCAGCTCCTCCAGAAGTATTACAGAAACTGACATACTTAGTGTTGCGACAAGGCGGGGATAACATCAAACATGTGGATACTGTCCGTGCCTATACCTTTGGTGTTCTTTATTTTGTTGAGGTTCGTCTACATATATATATTTTCATTGTCTCAATCATATAATTACAAACACATATATCACATAATTAAGTTGGAAATCAATTCCTACTTACATTTGACCATTGCATAATTCATCCCAAAATATTTGGCGATCATGTGATCAGAAAATTGTAATTACTAATGGAGATCAAAGATAAACTTTTGCTAGGTGCTTACACTTGATAAGATTTATTTAACAAACTTAAGTTAATTATTGTTATATATATGTGTGTATTGGTAGGTGGATATAGAACTGCCAGAGGATTTGCCACTGAAGGAAGCTCATGCAATTGGTGAGACATTGCAAATAAAGCTCGAAGAACTTCCAGAAGTGGAAAGAGCTTTTGTTCATCTGGATTTCGAGTGCCATCACAAACCTGAACACTCTGTGCTCTCTACGATCCCCAATGATTTATGAAGATTACATGCATATATAACTTTGTATGTGTAATTTGCTTGTTTTTTTTTTTTGGTTGCTTCTTTAATATTATATATGTACTATGTGACCTCTGCAGCTTGATACATTGCAGTATGAGTTTTCTTCTATTCACATTGAATTTTTTGCTTTAATCAACATTTTACGTTTACTTCTCTGTTTCATATATATATGTATGTATATATCAAATTTGAAATTGTGGGTATATAGTATGATATTAGGATTGAAGACATGATAAATCTTTTGCTGAGTGTCATAATTTATTTTTGTTTTCAAACATCTTTTAGGTTTATAAATATGAAATATAGGTTTATGTTTAGATTTTTTGTGTGGAAAATAAACTCTTTTATAGTATTTGTTACGGGAGATACGACAGTGTCTTTATTTCCACACTTTCTGATCCCTGACCCTGAGACAACTGAGAGATATGAATCGATATGTCCATCAAATGGAACTGAGAAATGCTGAATGCAGACTATGCAGTGCTCACAACTCATTACCACCTGATATGATCGCTCTTGTTTCGATTATAGTATTTACAACAGCTTTGATGTTAACTTGCAAAGCTAACAAGTTCGAATTAACATGACCATCCCTAAACGTTTCTGCAGGCTTTACTATTGCATAAGCACGTACATTATCAGGCTTTACTTATGCATAAGAGACAAACAGAGTGAGTTCAACAGCAGCATTTGATAATCATCACGGTTTTGTTTCTGCTGATTCATCTGAAGAAGCTTGGTTCCCATCAGGCCATCAGTGACGATGACAAGCTAAATTCCTATTTTCTAACTATGCTATTATATGCATGATGGAGTAGTGAAAATGAAGTGCTTGCAAAGAAGAAATGTTGTTCCAGGTCTCCCCATAAATTCTAAAGTCTAAACCAAATCAAAATCACCATTGTAAAGAATTAGAAATTGCACCAATCTTTTTGGAACCTGGTTTACAACAAGAACATAGCCAAAATCATGTCTTAGTTTTCCCTACATTCCCTGTCTGAAAGCCCAAAAAAACCCAACAAAAAAAAACCCAAAAATTACAGAGATAATATAACTCTTGCAGCCACAAGATAGTAACAATGGCTCCCTCCAAACTGATTCTCATAGAAGATTATCATCATCATCATCATCACAATCTCTCATCTTCATTCCCACTGGAGAAGACCCCATTATAACATACTAAAACCAGACAACAAACTTCAAATCTTCCTTGATCATTAGCTCTCCATGAGGCTTCTTCTTATGTACATCATTTTTCAATCAGTTCCTTCTTTTCTTCGTTTAGTTTACTCCTCTTTCCAGATTCGACCGGTCACTCTCAACTTGAGTTCTTGCCTATCACCTCCAGAGAAGTAGAGTGCGAGGTTTCTTGTGATGATGAGTCCGTCTTGACTGTCCCGGACTTTCCTGTGACTGTCACGGATGCTTCTAGGAATCCCTTGCCATATTAGTTTACGTCCATGAGCTCCTACTTCCAAGCTGTAACTGAACTTCTTCGCCTCGTTCTCATCTCCCATGAAACGAAGGAATGCCATGTACACTGGAGCCATACCCAACTGGAATGCCTCAAAGTGTAAACAAAACTGTCTCCCAAAACAGTTAAACACCTGGAAACAAATTTAAGATATTAAGATGCGGGTTGAAGCATAAACCAATATTCACTACCATGAAAATGAAACTGAGAATATGGTGGTACTAATGAGCCAGTAGGATCAAAAGTGAACTGGGAGAAAACTGGAAGAGGAGCAACACAGGAACCAGAAAACCAGCTAGCTAGTAAGGGAGTTTGTCTATAGTAACAGAGCAGGAATATAAATCTTGGCCCTCTGCTTATGGCAAAGGATTGACTAAATTTAAAATTCAATGGAAACTTGGGCTAAGTAAAGATGACACAAACAACTTAAGAAGCTGGATTTATAACAAGTCCTATGAAGAAGAGACCTAAACTCGGGGAGGGATCATGGTTAGTCATACGATGAATGTGAAAGAAGGTGAATGTGAAGCTTAGTCATATGATGATGTAAAACCAAAGCCTAAATCCGACTTTGAACTTGAGACCTTTCAGAAAAAAGAAGACAGCATGTGGAATCAAGAAATTTTTACCGTCAGCATCCATGTAGCATTTTCGACTTCATGTGGATTTGACTTTACATAACGGTGGTTGAAAGTGCACCCATCATGCATATCGACTTTATGATCGTCTTTAAGATGAACAACTAATGTGGGTATATCACCTGTAACTGAACACTCAGAGCCAGCATAAGGGCAAGTGTAAGGCCTAAACCTGCAGTGCTGCTCGTGCTTCAGCTTGCTGTAGTAAGGAAAAATGTCATGACACCCCAAATTTTGGTTGCGGCATGGAACTTCCAAAGACTCAGCAACTTTTTCAAGAGCTAAGCATCTTATGTTCCCAAGCTCGTAGCGACATGTAGGGCAAGTGTTCTGTACTCTCACTTTGCAGTTTGAACATAAAGTGTGGCCATTTGGACACTGTAGAATTAGAAAAAGTGTCAAGAACATGTAGCATTGTAATTACAAATCTTTTAAAGCTCATATGTTTCTGACCTGATGAATTGGAGGGTACATTAAATTTGTACACACGGGACACTCAAGAAGCTCATAAACACCATTGTTAGAATGGATCCCATATTTACCAATCCCTGCACCACCTGGTTTTGTAGGTTTGCTATTATTAACTTCCACTTTTGCTGTTTTAACCTCGTAATCCATTCCCGTTGAATTAGATTCCAGGACTTCTTTCAAAGCACTGCCTCCAGGAGCCATAGTGTCCCTAATTCAATCAAATGAATTGACCTTTTTTCTCACTTGGAGCAGATGATTTACTCCTCTTGCATAGATATGTTATTCTGTAGGAGGGAAAAAAAAAAAAACCAGATATATAAGCTTCTATGATTCACAAGTCAAATGAAACTTAAAAGGCTTATACATATAGTTGATAATCTGAGAAGGAAAAAGTAGATTAAGGGGCAGATACTTAGTTCAGTTGATCAAGTCTTTTACTTTATTTCAGGTATCTGTTTTATAGCTTAAGCTCCCTAAGCAACAAAGAATAAAATAAGGCATTTTCAAAAGAAAACATACATTTGAAGCAAAACATTTAATGCACTTTCAGATAGCTAACAAAGCGATAGGCCTCAAGCTATGAACAATGCTAAAAAGCTTAGACCTTTGCACATTCCGATGACTTTAACAGTAAACAGTTATCAATCACAGGACTATCAAACATCAAAAGAGAAAAATTCCAAGAGAAGAAATATAAAAAATCTTCTCTTTGCAATCTAACCAAAACAGAGAGAAACATGAAAATAGATCTAAACTAGAACAACAAGAATCAAAGAATCTAACCTATATGAGAGCTAACAAAGATCGTGCAAGCAAGGTTTCAATATTTTGCCATTAGATAAAACATTTAAATTTCAAACCAAGCTTGAGCAGAAATCTATATAGAGAAACGGTGTTTGTAAAATGCAAACCCCAATAATCACAAAAATCTCAACATTATCTTTGTCTCTTTGACTTATGTTTCAAACAAATCAAAACAGATTCAACGACAACAAAATAAAGGAAAGAGATTTCCCAGAAAAATATTTGACCTTTCGAGAGATATATATATATATATATATATATTTCCACAAACAAAGCAAGCTTAGATTTGTCACACGATGCCCAAAAGCACCGACCCGAGAATCCCAATTTCGGAATTAGCTAATTCTCGATCTCTTTTTCCCGATTTCAAAATAAAAAAAAAACCCCAAATTCAAAAGAAGCAGAATAAGTTTTAAAAAAATAAAAATAAAATACCCGGAAGAAATGTTCCAAGACTTGGCGTTCGCGTGGTTGCTTCAGATTCAAATTAAGGGGAGGAATCGTGTTGAGGATAATTTGAGGAGAAGAATTGGGGATTAGTGAGAAAGGAAAAGAGAAGGGAGGAGAGGGAAGAGGAGGAGGCTGGGTTTGGTTGAGTTGTGTCCTGTCTTGTTCGTATCGGTGGAGAAAGCCATTAATGGTGGTGGTCTCTGTTTTGTCTTTATTATTCCTCTCCTCACTTTTGAAAAAAAAAAAAACACCGAATCACAATTCACGAAGGTGGTTCCTTTTTTTAAAAAAAGATATTAAAATTTTTTAATCTCAACTTAATTACAATTACTTATTTATGTATATTCATCACAGATTTGGTACGCTCTTCATAATTATAGATTAGGATTTTCTTAATTATTATGGTACCCCCGATTTCCTTCTTTTTTATAATGTTTTCTCAGATATATTACTATATTTTTGTAACAAAGAGAGAGAACCTGAAAAGGAAACATATTTGCTATTTCCTCGTTTTTAATTTTTGCATCAAATTCACCTACGCTAGCGTAAATGTTTTTACGTTAGTGGAGTCTTTTTTGTGACTTATGAGTGAAAGAAAAACAAAAGAGGACTTTGAAATAATTGTTTCATCTCCGGCAAAAGTCAAATTTATACTGTTAAGGAACAGATTAAGAAAAGATCTTTACTAGTAATAAGTAAATAACCAGTTTTATAAATTTTAAAAATATCTTATTGGCTCGAGTTCGTGCATCGAGTAACGAGACGACGCTCGTTTCCCGCACACATCATTTGAGTTTTTTTTTTTTTTTTTTTTTTTTTTGATATAACTATAAATATCATTAGAAAATGAACATTTTAGGGATTACAAAGAGTAAAGCCTAGAGTTTTGTTGTCGAGCCAAAAAAAGATAAAAAACAGGACAACAATTATAGTGAAAAACCAAAAGTTCAATCACAACAAGAAAACGACTCATCGGATCCAGAACTGCATCAAGTTTCCAAAATGCTTTCGATGGCGACGAGCGTAGACGACATTACGGATCTCTCTGTCAATCAATTTGAAAATGGTTTGGTGAGGCAAGACGAGGTTGTTGTGCAAGACATTATTTCTCTGTTTCCAGATGTGGAAAACTGTGGCATGAACAGCGATCCTTCTGATCAGAGTCGGCGAAGACAGCAGAGTAGAGGACGACTGGGCAGTCGACAAAGGAGAGGCTCTGGTTCTGATCCAAGAAAGAAGCTCATTCCAAGAGATGAACAGTTGCCCAGCAGGATCAAGCCGAGAAAAAACCAGCC